GGAATCGAACCCGGTCGGCTAGGTGAAAGGCGAGTGCGTTACCACTGTGCCACCCGACCACCTCTTATAGTGATGTTATGGGATTTTTTTTCAAAAGGAATTTTAAAGCGCAAAGCTACAAGTAATAAGGTTGTCATTTTTAAAATATCTGGCTGTTAATAGGACATTGTTCTCAGTGGGACGACGAACGCCGAACTTACCACATAACACATTTCAACAGAACACAACTGTAAAAACGCTATAACATTTACCGCCCTACACATTTCAACAGAACACAACTATAAAAAAAACGCTTTCACATTTACCGCCCTACACATTTCAACAGAACACAACTATAAAAAACGCCTTTACATTTACCGCCCTACACATTTCAACTGACCACAACTATGAAACGCTATTTTATTTACCGTCCTACACATTTTATCAGAACGCAACTGTTCAGCAAACGCTATTACATTTACCGCCCTACACATTTCAACTGACCACAACTATGAAACGCTATTACATTTACCGCCCTACACATTTCAACTGACCACAACTATGAAACGCTATTTTATTTACCGTCCTACACATTTTATCAGAACACAACTGTTCAGCAAACGCTATTACATTTACCGCCCTACACATTCCAGCAGTTTCAATTCTTTCATATTTTCATCTTTAAAAAGCAACAGGTTCACTATCAATGAAAATATCAACTGCACGTTTTGGAATTCGAGCAATTCTGTGAAACTCTGATATAATTATGAACAAAAATATTCAGATCTATAAAAATAACGTTATAAAATGATTTACGATGTTCTTGATAAATCAAAGCGTTTTTCATGATTCTGAATGCTTCAATCACCGTTCTTCTATAAACATCGTAATGAAGGCATTAGGACACAAGTTAACGCGCAATCAGAGAACGTCTTGTTATAAGACATTGTCGACCCTCCTGCCGCGATGTTCTCAGATTATCAAAACCTCCGAAAATATGCTTCACTTTTGATCTGTACACATTTTAGGATATTCTTGTATACTATTAATTACCATTGATAAAGGCACGGGAACTATTCCTTTTGACATGAATGTGATCGTCCGCCTATTTTTCTGCTAATCACGTGATCGTCCGCCTACTTCCCCAATCATCGGTACATCACAGCAGCTGGAGCCTCCTACAAACGAGTTTACCTTGACAGGAGCCATCATCTATACCGTATGAACGATGTGTACCATCTCCTTCCACGAATGATTAACAATGAGGAGGTTGATTATACAATTATAGAGATTCGTATCATTAACAGCTCATAACATCGTTTTATAATTTTACTGTTTCTGGTTTCCAGGTAGTTAATGGTGAGACTGTGTGATTGTGGGTTCAGGGAGGGGTTGAATGAAGAAAGGGTGGGGCCTCAGGGAGAAGTTGAGTGTAGAAGGGGTTGGAGTAGGGGTTCGCGGAGGGATTGAACAAGAAAGGGATGGGATTCAGGGAGGGATTAAACAGAAAGGGTTGGGGTTCGGGGAGAGGTTGAGTGAGGAAACGGCGGGACTCCCGAGAGGGGTTAAGTGAAGAAGGCATGGGGCGGTTCAGAGAGAGGATGAATGTAAAAATTGGGATAGGAGCACTGAGAAGGTTGAATGAGAAAGAGGCAAGGGTAGGAAAGGATAGGATGGGGTTCAGGGAGGGGTTGAGTGAGGAACGGATTAGGGTTCAGGGAGGGATTTTTAGTGAGAATGGTGGTAATCCAGAGAGGAGTTGAGTGAGACAGGAATTTGGTAAGAGTCCAGAGAGGATTGAATGGGAAAGAGGCACAGGAAGGAATGGAGGTTCGGGGAGGGGGTTGAGTGAGAAAGGGTTTTGATTTAGTTAGGAGCTGATTGAGGAGGCGTGAAGGTCATATGAGAGGTTGACTGAGGAAGGAATAGGAGTTCAGGGAGGGTGTGAGTGAGGTACCATATGGGGTCGGGGAGCGTGTGAGTGATACTGTCATTTGGAGTTCAGGAAGGGGGTGAGTGAGGTAGACATGGAGGGGTCAGTGAGCTGGTGAGTGAAACAGTCATTTGGAGTTCAGGGAGGGTGTGAGTGAGGTAGACATGGGGGAAGGAGGGGTGTCATTGAGCTGGTGAGTGAGACAGGTATTTGGAGGGTGTGAGTGAGGTACCATATGGGGTCGCGGAGCGTGTAAGTGATACTGTCATTTGGAGTTCAGGGAGGATGTGCGTGAGGTAGACATGGGGGGTCAGTGATGGGGGGTGATTGAGACATCATTTGGAGTTCAGGGATATGTAAGTGAGGTGAGTGAGACAGGCATTTGGAGGGTGTGAGTGAGGTACCATATGGGGTCGGGGAGCGTGTGAGTGATACTGTCATTTTTAGTTCAGGAAGGTGTGAGTGAGGTAGACATGGGGGGTCAGTGATGGGGGGTGATTGAGACAATCATTTGGAGTTCAGGGATATGTGAGTGAGGTAGACATGGGGGTCAGGGAGGGTGTGAGTGAGGTACCATAAGGAATCAGGGAGCGGGTAAGTAAGACAGGCATTTGACGGCCAGGGAGGGTGTGAGGTACCTTAAGGAATCAGGGAGCGGGTGAGTCAGACGGGCATCTGCAGTTCAGGGAGGGTGTGAGTGAGGTACCATAAGGGATCAGGGAGCGTGTGAGTGAGACTATAATTTGGGGTTCAGGAAGGGAGTGAGAGAGGCAGGGGGGGGGGGGGGGGGGGGGGGGGGGGTTTCGGGAAGGGTGAAAAAGGCTGGTTTAGGGGTTTCAGGGAGGGGGTGAGAGAGGCAGACATTAGGCGTTCAGGGAAGATGTGAGTGATGAAATGGCTGTTACAACATAAAAATGGCTAGCGAAATATCCAAGGGAAAGGCCAGCATATTTAATAACACAAATCTTGTACTTGTATTTTATCGTACCAATATAGTATTGGTCTCTTACAGTACAATTCCAATATTTGTCTTTTAAAGTGCATATGTCGTATTTGTCTTTACGTTAATTTGTTAGTTTTGATATTACAGTCTATAAGGACAAAGGTGATTGGTCATTAAGTATTTCAGAGACGTAAAAATACATCTAGATACAATTTTTCCTCAGTGATTCTTGAGTACTGTTCTCAGAACACTTTGTACCTAAACACATCTGATCACACTCGATACCGCATACCTAGAACCTCATTCTTTCTTTCTGAACACTTCTAAATACCTGCTACCTGTTTCTTTCTGAACACATCTGAATACCTGCAACCTGTTTCTTTCTTTCTGAACACATCTAAATACCTGCTACCTGTTTCTTTCTTTCTGAACACATCTAAATACCTGCAACCTGTTTCTTTCTTTCTGAACACTTCTAAATTCCTGCAACCTGTTTCGTTCTTTCTGAACACTTCTAAATACCTGCTACCTCATTCTTTCTTAACACTTCTAAATACCTGATACCAGAGTCATCCTTTCTGAACACATCCAAATACCTGCTACCTCATTCTTTCTTTCTTAACACATCTAAATAATTGCTACCTCATTCTTTCTTTCTGAACACTTCTAAATACCTGCTACCTCATTCTTTCTTTCTGAACACTTCTAAATACCTGCTACCTCATTCTTTCTTTCTGAACACTTCTAAATACCTGCTACCTCATTCTTTCTTTCTGAACACTTCTAAATACCTGCTACCTCATTCTTTCTTTCTGAACACATCTAAATACCTGCTACCTCATTCTTTCTTTCTGAACACATCTAAATACCTGCTACCTCATTCTTTCTTTCTGAACACATCTAAATACCTGCTACCTCATTCTTTCTTTCTGAACACATCTAAATACCTGCTACCTCATTCTTTCTTTCTGAACACTTCTAAATACCTGCTACCTCATTCTTTCTTTCTGAACACATCTAAATACCTGCTACCTCATTCTTTCTTTCTGAACATTTCTAGATACCTGCTACCAGAGTCATCCTTTCTTAACATCTCTAAATACCTGCTACCTAAATCATCCTTTCTGAACACCTCTAAACACTGTCTATCGGAACCTGCATATGTTTACACCTCAAATACCTGTTACCTGAGCTCTTCTTTTGAGAACACTTTTAAATGCCTGAATGTCTCTTTAGCATTAAAAAACAAACAAACAAACAACGTTTGATGGTATTCCGTTTTACTCGCTGTGCGATTTAAGGATTTTCTGTGACTTCAACCCGAGATATCAAAAAGTTTAAAATTAATCCAAAGCGAGTTTTTGGGCTTGAGGTTGATATATTTAGCATGGGTTTAGGTATAAAAGGAAACTGTTCCAAAAGGTAGATTACATCGTTACTTAACCAATCAAGGCTAATAAGGTTGATGTTTCTAGTAAAGCGACACATCGCGAGTCCACGATAACCTGTACACATTATCAGCTTCCAACGCCAGTCATGGCATCAAGACCGGCGTAATAACGGCGGGTTTGTTACGTCGTTTGAGAACACCACAGCACGCATAACTCCAAATCGGGCCAATTTTTCCACCTCGCCTTTGTAGGGACCACTCGTAATTAGCGGCGACGCCAGGGATTCATGATAAGGATAACCGTGCCGTCATAATCTCAAACTTTTGATGTTTGTATAACAGCACGGCAGCTAAAACAGGTTACAAACTGTAGCAACTAGCTGGCTAAAACATATGGTAACAGTTCGTAAAAATGGCAATGTTTAGTTTAACAATGTACAACAGTAATAGTTGCTTAAATCTGAAAAAAACGTCAATGTTAGTCACGGTACAAAACGGTATTAGTTGGTCACAATACGGCACAAACGTTCGTTAAAAAGCGTTGCAAACGGTAATTTAAGATTTAAACAGGCCATATACGGTAAAAGTTACTATAAACACGTCAAAAACGGTAAAAGTCGCGTAAACACGGTTAAACATTAAGAGATGCTTTAAACAAACGGTAACAATGACACCATTATCCCTAATATTCTTCCCTCTGTATAGTAATACAATCTATAATAATGTATTTATTAGTGTGCCACAATACTTAAAACATGCGACAGCGGGCATTGCCTGGCACCGAGAGCCGTTTTCCATGGCATCTCCACGCAATGGGGCCGCATAGGAGTGACGATGGCACATACCAGAACATTCCCAAAGAGGACGTCGATTTTTTTTTCAACATTCGGAAGATAGAACGAGGAATGTTTAAGAATCTTAATGTGGCCGATCATCTGTTCGTATGAGACAGAAAATAAAATATACCCGGATGTTATTAGACTGTGACAAAAGATTACCACCTAGCCGAGACATCTTCCACGTGTAGGTTGACGGTGGGGGTGGAGGAATGGAGTTAGGTTAGGAGTCTAAACAAAGTATTCTATAGGGGACGTCAGCCCTCCTTTGTCCCCTTCCCCACCATCCGCATCAGTTGAAGGGGTAATTACATCCCTTTCTCTGCTTCCCTATCCACGTTAGAGCAAAGACATCCCCTTCATATCATCTAATTCCGTACACCATCTGTGTTAGTTACAGGGTACGTACATTCCTACTCTATCTGATCCAGTTCTTCCCTCGTCAGTTGGAGGGAACATTCCTATCCTATCTCATCCAGTTATCCCCTTGTCAGTTGGAGGGAACATTCCTAATCTATCTGATCCAGTTCTTCCCTCGTCAGTTGGAGGGAACACCCCTATTCTATCTCATCCAGTTCTCCCCTTGTCAGTTGGAGGGAACATTCCTAATCTATCTGATCCAGTTCTCCCCTCCTCAGTTGGAGGGAACACCCCTATCCTATCTCATCCAGTTCTCCCTCGTCAGTTGGAGGGAACACTCCTATCCTATCTGATCCAGTTCTCCCCTCGTCAGTTGGAGGGAACACCCCTATTCTATCTCATCCAGTTCTCCCCTTGTCAGTTGGAGGGAACATTCCTAATCTATCTGATCCAGTTCTCCCCTCGTCAGTTGGAGGGAACACCCCTATCCTATCTCATCCAGTTCTCCCTCGTCAGTTGGAGGGAACACTCCTATCCTATCTCATCCAGTTCTCCCCTCGTTAGTTGGAGGGAACACCCCTATCCTATCTCATCCAGTTCTCCCCTTGTCAGTTGGAGGGAACACCCCTATCCTATCTCATCCAGTTCTCCCCTCGTCAGCTGGAGGGAACACCCCTATCCTATCTCATCCAGTTCTCCCCTCGTCAGTTGGAGGGAACATCCCTATCCTATTTCATCCAGTTCTCCCCTTGTCAGTTGGATGGTACAGACTCAACTGCCCTGATTTCAAACTTGTTCTCCCTGTGCCAGTTGGATGTTAGTATACCCCTCCCATCCAGATTTCTCTTGGCGTCTGGTGGATAATTCATATGCCCCACCTCGTTTTCCCCTGGTACGTTCCCCCACCCCCTCCCCTTCCCCGCCCTTAATCGCCTCCGCGTCAGTTTGAGAACACGTTAACCCGTCTCCCGCTCCCATTCTCGTCCAATTCCACATCACATTTTGCCACTAGCACATTAGTTTAATGTTAAGGCACATTTTTTTTTGCTTTGTCAATTTGTTTAATTATCACTCTCTCACCATAAAGTATAATCCAAAAGTACATACACGACTGGGTATTGCGTGGATATGTCAGTAAAAAGTCAGTAAAAAGGGAGGAGAATTGATGAAGGTAGTTAGTATATATCTATGTATACCTATGTTAATGACTTTTTACGACACAGCCGACACATAAATACGCCGTGAAAAAAAGTATTAATGAAAATTAGTGACGAGGAAGTGTAGCATTTCCATTAGACGGTCTTAATAAAACATATTGTAGATAAATATCAGCGACACCAACGCCCACACATTTTACCAGACATCAACGCTAACTTATATTTGTTTAGAAATGAAATCTGAAACGATTTACATAGGAATTATATAATACTAATAAAAAAATTAAACAGTTTTGTGTGAGTGAAGCAAATACAGAGCTAGTTATATATTTAGATTGTGAATAGCCCCTAAAGAAATACGGACCTAGTTATAAATAGTGTTGTACAAAACACTGAATCTAAAACACTAGATGTTCAATTTAATGCGTTTTTATTCTTCAAACTATCTTTTCATTATTTAGATATACAAATATGAGCGAAAATGTGTGATAATAGGATAGGTTAGGTTTTGATGTTCAAAAACATAATGCGAATATACACACTGCTATAACTACATGTCTCGAGGCTCCGAAGTTTCGCGCTCATACTACTCTATACATACAAGTTCTACAGCGGCAGATTGCATAACGATAGTGCCGCTCATACAGTCCACAGCATGTTCAAACGTAACTCCATCCAGATGAACATTACTTGAATTCAGTAACTAAAGAAATGTGGCTTCCCAATCGTTAAGATGCCGCTTTAGCACTTAAATGTAGGGAAGTAAGCGCGCGGAGCTACGGAACAATAAGCGACATCTAATCAATAGTATTACGTATTGTTGATTTCACACAGATTACATGACGCCCCACCTATCCCTCCGTCATCCAATTACCCCCAGCCCACCTATCCCTCCATCATCCAATTACCCCCAGCCCACCTATCCCTCCACCATCCCACTTCCCCCAGCCCACCTATCCCTCCAACATTCCACTACCCTCAGCCCACATATCCCTCTACCATCCCACTTCCCCAGCCCAGCTATCCCTCCACCATCCGATCAACTCCGCCTCAGCTATCCTTCCACCATCCCATTACACCCTCAGCCCTAATATTCCTCCACCATCACATTACCCCTTGCCCCAGCTATACCTCCATCATCCCATTAACTCCGCCCTAGCTATCCTTCCATCATCCCATTACATCCGCCCCTTCTACAATCCCATGACCACCGGCCCAGCTATCTTTCCTGCATCCCATTACCGCCAGCCCACCTTTCCCTCCATCATCCCATTAACTCCACCCCAGCTCTCCCTCTCACATTCCATAAACCCTAAATCCCAACTATCCCTTCATCATCCCATAAACTCCATCCCAGCTATCCCGCCACCATCCCAATACCCCCAGTTCACCAATCCCTCCACCATCCCATTACCCCCAAGTCCACCAATCCCTCCATCATCCCACTACCCCCAGTCCACCTATCCCTCCAACATCCCACTACCCCTAGCCACCTATCCCTCCACCATCCCATTAACTCCGCCCCAGCTATCCTTCCACCATCCCATTACCCCCCACCCCCGGCCCACCTATCCCTCCAACATCCCTTTACCCCCGGTCCACCAATCCCTCCACCATCCCATTAAATCCGCCCCAGCTATCTCTCCACCATCCCATTACCCCCTCAGCCACCTATCCCTCCAACATCCCACTACCCCCACCCCAGCTATCCCTCCACCATCCCATTACCCCCTCCAGTTCAGCTATCCCGCCACCATCCCATTACCCTCCAGCCAACCTATCCTTCCACCGTCCCATTTCCCCCTCTCCAGTCCAGCTATCCCGCCACCGTCCTAATACCCCCAGTCCATCCAATCCCTCCATCATCCCAATACCCCCAGTCCACCTATCCCTCCAACATCCCACTCCCCCCAGCCACCTATCTCTCCACCATCTCATTAACTCCGCCCCAGATATCCTTCCACCATCCCATAACCCCCCTCAGCCCACATATCCCTCCAACATCCCACTACCCCCAGCCCAGCTATCTCTCCACCATCTCATTAACCCCCCCCCCAGATATCCTTCCACCATCCCATTACCCCCTCAGCCCACCTAATCCTCCACCATCACCTTACCCCCGCCAAAGCTATCCCTCCATCATCCCATTATCTTCCTGCCAACATATCCTTCCACCGTCCCATTATCCCCTCTCCAGTCCACATATCCCTCCACCATCCCATTAACTCCGCCTAAGCTATCCTTCCACCATCCCATTACCCCCTCTCCAACCCACCTATCCCTCAAACATCCCATCACCACCGCCCACCTATCCCTCCAACATCCCACTACACCCAGCCCACCTATCCCTCCAACATCCCACTACCCCCAGCCCAAGCTATCCTTCCACCATCCCATTACACCCCACCAACATCCCACTACCCCCAGCCCAAGCTATCCTTCCACCATCCCATTACCCCCCACCCCCAGCCCACCTATCCCTCCAACATCCCTTTACCCCCGGTCCACCAATCCCTCCACCATCCCATTAAATCCGCCCAAGCTATCCTTCCACCATCCCATTACCCCCCACCCCCGGCCCACCTATCCCTCCAACATCCCTTTACCCCCGGTCCACCTATCCCTCCACCATCCCATTAAATCCGCCCCAGATATCCATCCACCATCCCATTACCCCCTCAGCCCAGCTATCCCTCCACCATCCCACTTCCCCCAGCCCACCTATCCCTCCAACATCCCACTACCCCCAGCCCACCTATCCCGCCAACATCCCACTACCCACCTATCCCGCCAACATCCCACTACCCACCTATCCCTCCACCGCCCCATTAACTCCGCCCCAGCTATCCTCTCTCCAAATATACTACCCCATCTCTTATATAACATCCCCCATCCCATTACCCTACCCCAAATATTCCACTCCCTATTCCTTAGCCCACACCATCCCAATCATCCATCTCAACTATCCCCTCCTCCATCCCATTAACCCTACCTCACCTATCATCTCCTCGCCGCAATAACGCTCCCAATCTCAACTAACTATCCCTTTCCCATTAACCCCACCCATACTATCATCTCCCCGCCTCACTAATCCTCCCGATCACACTACTACCTCAAATATCCCCTTCCCATTAACCCCACCCATACTATCATCTCCCCGCCTCCCGACCACACTACTACCCCAAATATCCCCTTCCCATTAACCCCACTCAAACTATCATCTCCCGCCTCACTAATCCTCCCGACCACACTACTACCATCCCCTTCCCATTAACCCCACCCAAACTATCATCTCCCGCCTCACTAATCCTCCCGACCACACTACTACCCCAAATATCCCCTTCCCTTTAACCCCATCCAAAATATCATTTCCCCGCCACACTAAAAACACCCCGCCTATCCCCTACCCAAACCTATTCCGTTTATCCCAAATTTCCCCTCTCCAATCTCATGTGCTCCGTCCGACCTTTTTCCTCCCATTCTGATATTCCAGAGTTACCTCCCTTCACTGTCAGTACATGGTAATGTGACAGACTTCACCGCTAACGGGGCCGAGAATGTCCATAATACTTGTGGGCTTAGTTGTTTACGGTAGAGGGGAGGTAACTTGTAGTAAAGTTTTGTCTTAAAGGCGGACTTCTTTAAGAAAACAACGGTAAATGGGCATATGTCAGATTTATCATCGTGTTTCTATCCTTAATCATTCCAGTCTTTGATTTTAAAAAGTGTGCTGAAAACACGTTTTCCGGATGAGAGCAAAACTGTTTTAAGACATACTTCCACCCAGGAGAGATCCTGTCCTGAGTTACCCGAGAGTAAAGGCGATAATTTAAATGAAAAGACCAGATCTAAGAGTAAGATTTTCCTCTCAAAATAGAAACGGATTTACGTTTAAGCTGGACAAATTACATACGTGTATTGACATTGGGTTGGAAATCTGTAACCAATCCTTCCAAACAATTGTTTACGCCGATGACGGTACAAGAGCGTGGATATTTATAATTGTCGATCACTAGGGGGTCTAAAACGTATATTCGAACCGACTTGTCCATTCGTTGTGTATCTCGTACCCTAAAGGTGATTCGTCTAGCCGATTTCACTTCAGTGTCATCCTGTCTTGAACACCTAACACTTTAATAGTAGTTCCGTTCGAGAACAGACGCTCTGGAATAAATACCGGACCTTGTTACATTGACACCTGTGTAGAGACTGGCCCTTGTTACATTGACACCTGTGTAGGGACTGGCCCTTGCTACATTGACACACGTGTAGAGACTGGTCCTTCTTTTATTAACATATGTGTAGAGACTGGCCCTTGTTACACTGACACCTGTGTAGAGACTGGCCCTTGTTACAGTGACACACGTGCAGAGACTGGCCCTTGTTACATTGACACCTGTGTAGAGACTGGCTCTTGTTACATTGACACCTGTGTAGAGACTGGCCCTTGTTACACTGACACCTGTGTAGAGACTGGCCCTTGTTACACTGACACCTGTGTAGAGACTGGCCCTTGTTACATTGACACCTGTGTAGAGACTGGCCCTTGTTACAGTGACACACGTGTAGAGACTGGCCCTTGTTACATTGACACCTGTGTAAAGACTGGCCCTTGTTACACTGACACCTGTGTAGAGACTGGCACTTGTTACACTGACACACGTGTCGAGACTGGCCCTTGTTAAATTGACACCTGTGTAGAGACTGGTCCTTCTTACATTAACATATGTCTAGAGACTGGCCCTTGTTACACTGACACCTGTGTAGAGACTGGCACTTGTTACGGTGACACCTGTGTAGAGACTGGCCCTTGTTACATTGACACACGTGTAGAGACTGGCCCTAGTTACATTGACACCTGTGTAGAGACTAGCACTTGTTACGGTGACACCTGTGTAGAGACTGGCCTTCGTTACAGTGACACACGTGTAGAGACTGGCCCTAGTTACATTGACACCTGTGTAGAGACTGGCACTTGTTACGGTGACACCTGTGTAGAGACTGGCCTTCGTTACAGTGACACACGTGTAGAGACTGGCCCTAGTTACACTGACACACGTGTCGAGACTGGCCCTTGTTAAATTGACATCTGTGTAGAGACTGGTCCTTCTTACATTAACATATGTCTAGAGACTGGCCCTTGTTACACTGACACCTGTGTAGAGACTGGCACTTGTTACAGTGACACCTGTGTAGAGACTGGCCCTTGTTACATTGACACACGTGTAGAGACTGGCCCTAGTTACATTGACACCTGTGTAGAGACTGGCACTTGTTACGGTGACACCTGTGTAGAGACTGGCCTTCGTTACAGTGACACACGTGTAGAGACTGGCCCTAGTTACATTGACACCTGTGTAGAGACTGGCACTTGTTACGGTGACACCTGTGTAGAGACTGGCCTTCGTTACAGTGACACACGTGTAGAGACTGGCCCTCGTTACATTGACACCTGTGTAGAGACTGGCACTTGTTACGGTGACACCTGTGTAGAGACTGGCCTTCGTTACAGTGACACACGTGTAGAGACTCGGGAATAATAATGAGTCATGTCCCACAAGAGACAGAACATATATCGCTCGACACGAAAGAAAGATGGGTTGAACGTAAGACTAGTAAGCTAAAGGTCCCTTGTTGAGACATCAGAATGAAAAATGTGCCTATTACGGACACTACGCACGCCAGTGCTGGTACGAATTCACACCGGTCATTTGTCTGATGAAGATGACCATTTCGTCATCGAGACGTCACACTTAAATCTGCTACTTGTTGTGTAAAGGATGTACTCCACTGATGTTTGGACCGGAATTGAGACATAATTCAATATAAGATGGATTCCAGCGTGATATCTTCGACTTTTGTCTTTTCATATCACTCGAGCGATGGTCCCAAACCACGGATGCCTAAATATGGTATTATCACATGGGAGAGGCAAATGGCCAATAGCTAAAAGGGTATCATCGCTCAATTGACGGCCTCTTCTCCGTATGGATTCAAAAGAGGAATCGGGTGCATCATCCAATCAAATCAATGGTCTGACCAATGAAATGCCTTCTCTCAAAAGACCTTATTATCATATTACATATATGGTCAACCGTGGTTTAGGACCATCGCCCCTCTCTATGCAATGACATCTGCAGTTATACTTCTAAGTTAAAAACGGGCGATTTTTATGACGTTTTGAAGAAATTTCGCTTTTTGAACTACATTTTGTGCCGGTGTATTCAGTTGAGAGCGTCAAACAATTTCAACGTTTGCTGGTTGCTAAGGTATTTCCATTGAGTATAACTCAACTAAATGTTGCATGAATTATCACCACGAATCACAGATTTCAAATTCGTGAATCCCGACTTGGTGACTACCTTCCCGAATTTGTAGCATCCAAAAATAAATATTTCAGACGGTTTCTTGATCTTGGAAAAACTGTCTATTTAGGTGAAAATTGCAAAATATCAAAGCACACAGACCCCACTTTTTTATCCCCCGCGAAACGCGTTTGCGGGGGATATTAAATTGGGCTCCGTCCGTCCGTCCAAGTGCTTTTCCGGGCTTTAACTTCCAAAGCGTTCAATTCAACTTCACAAAACTGTATATATTAAGTCATTGCCCTAGTTGTGCCTTTTGCTATTGTCGACATTTCACTTATTATATTTTTTGTTACCATGGAAACATAATCAGAAAACATCAAAAGAGGGCTTTTCCGGGCTATAACTTCCAAACCGTTCCACTCAACTTCACAAAACTTTCTGTACATATTAAGTGGGTGCCCTATTTGTGCCTTTTGCTATTACCGTCATTTCACTTTATATATATTTTTTCTGTTTCCATGGAAACATAGTCAGATAACACAAAAAGAGGCCTTTCCAGGCTATATCTTCCAAACTGTTCCACTCAACTTCACAAAACTTTCTGCACATATTAACTTAGTGCCATAGTTGAACCTTTTGCTATCAACAACATTTCATTTTTTATTATATTTTTTTCAGTTTTTGCAAAAATATAGTTAAAAAAAACTCAAAAGAAGGCTTTTTCTGAGCTACAACTTCAAAGCATTGGCCCTTCAGAGTGTGATCATTATCATTGTTATTACATGTTTTACATCTCTTGCATAGTGAATCTTTTGTTGCCTGAAGATAACTGTTATGCCTGAAAACGCTACTGAAACACATTTGTTGTGTTGATTCTATATTTTCAATTATATCTCTATATATATATCTATAATTTTGAAGTTGAGGAGATGTGAGTTTATTATTTTCTACTAGTGCTTTCACTGTAATAGACCTTCACGTGCAAAGTACTGATACATAAGTGTGTGAAGTCTCAAATTATTACAGTGCTATATATAGCATATTTGGGTTCCATACCAACACCTGTGCGCGGGGGATAATGCTACGCTTTGCGGCATCTTGTTAATCATTAAAATTGGCATCGAAAATTTCTCCATCAAAACTTAAATTCTTAATAAAAGTTTAATACTAGAAAATGGCCATATAGAGATTTATTTCATTTTTGAACAGTTTCATTTTTTGGTTGGTATGGAGATTAAAACTTTTAAAATAAAATGTAAACTAACATTTTCACATGATTTGCTTTCCTTAATATAATACCCTAACTTTGTTATGAAAGACGAAAATTTACTTTTAAAAATGTTGTAGCGGAAATAACAGAGGATGTCTGTGATTCTGGAAAAAAATGAGAATTATATTTTGACTCCTGTACTGGAAAATCCAGTACAGCAACATATAGATTTTTGCTTTCAATCGTCTTTCTAAAATCACACCTTTCAAACAACTCATCCTCAGAAAAAAATCAATAGTGGATTTTTTTTATATTTCTCAGAGGAGTACATCCTTAATAGAACTTTGTGTGTGCGCACTTGAAATGCACGTGTTTGTGTGTTTTTCTGTTGATATTCGATATTTTAGTAGAAGTTGCTAGAAAGTGTTTTGAGCCCTTGAAAACAGCATCGGTGGGACACTCTTCCATCCAAAATGGCATACGGAGTTGTGTGCCCTTGCTTTATTTACTCGCTGTATCTGTTGGATTCAATATGGCTGCGCCCATTGCAAGCATGACACCGCACGGATTTACAGTACACATGTAAGAATATACTGTTAATTGACAATGACATACGTGAAATATATTAATTGTGTTTTGATTGAACTTATATAAATGAAAACACAATATCCAAAAGTAAGCAATTCCGCTCAAAATAGTAACGGATGTACTTTTAAGTCGGACAAGGTGACACGGTCAGACACCGGCGAGGTGAGCAAGAGGTATTCAGCGTTCCATAGGGTCACTGTCGATCCTCTGGTTCCCGAAATTACTGATGCATGAAATGCAAATCTATGTTGGTGTCTAGTATTCTAGTCCCTCGAGTGGTACTGTACCGACTGGGAACAGGTTGCATACTAGTAAAAGCATTACATGCTTCAGTTTCCCAAGGAACCGTAGAACACCCTGAAATACAGGAAATGTGAAAATCCGACCGTATTGTCACAGTACAAACTGTCAACAGGTGTTTTATTTCCTCAGTTTTACATGCAATATTTTAGTTATCCATTAAAGATATATACATGTCATGTCACTATCTGGACTTAAAGTATTCTATTTTTAATGAAATATGTTTTTAAAAATGTTTAAAACAAGTATTCAAGTATTCTATTTTTAAAGGGATGAAATGGTTAGATTTTCATTTCATAACTGATAAAAACCATTATAACATCTCAATACCTGTTAAAATATGTGTACTTTCTGTTCATTATAATATTTAAAAGTTTGCATAACCATTTATCAAAAATATCAAAAAGTTAGATAAAATAGGAGCATAAGCAGTGTTTTTGCATGATGTGTGATGTGGGAAAAATTAGGAATCATAACAAAGCCTTTGGTTAAAATGGGGATCTGAAAGGGTGTGATAAACCTGGCTATCTCAGATCAAACCCTTCCTTAGATGTTGGCAGTGAATGGTGATAGACACAATAGTGAGTGTTGACCAGTGTGAGTTTGAAACTGGTAATCTTCATCAATTGTTTGCTCAGAAAGTGCTTAATTTTGTGAATTTTAAGTATTTTTTTATTTAAGTAGTACAATGCTTGCTCGAAATAAATGTATGGAAAAAATAAAGAAATCTTACCATCCAGTCCCTGTAATGAGTTACGTTAAAAATCAGTGGATGCAAGTAGTTTGATTATATACATATCTTTTTATTTAGGTAAATGAATGACTGAGCTGTGTAATACCAACATTAAATATGGGTGTGATAGAAATGGCCACATCCCTGACAGACAATCCCTACTTCGGTGCTGGAGCAGGGTTGTTTGGACTAGGGTTTGCCACAGCTGTGTTGAGGAAGGGATCCCAGATAGGAATGATTATGTTTAGGAGACACTGCATGATGAGTATGGAAGTGCCAAGTAAGGACAAGAGTTATGATTGGTTACTGAACTGGATTACCTTACGAAGCACTCGAACTCAGCACCTCAGCGTAGAAACCACGTTTACTCAGTCTGAGACGGGTCGAATCAGCACACATTTTGACTTTGTGCCTAGTCCAGGTGCTCACTTCATTGTCCACAAATCAACGTGGATCCGTGTGGAACGAACTCGAGAAAAGCAAATGCTTGACATGCATAGAGGTGTTCCCTGGGAATCTGTAACACTGACTGCATTTGGCCGAGACAGAAGTTTATTTTTCAATATTCTTGAGGAAGCTAAAGTCCTTGCCCTTGAACAAACAGAGGGGAGAACAGTCATGTATACAGCTATGGGTGCTGAATGGCGTCCGTTTGGCTACCCCAGAAAGAAGCGCCCTCTTGGGTCAGTTGTTTTAGATAAAAGTGTTTCTGAAAAGATATTGACAGATATAAGAGAATTTACCAATAATCCTAAATGGTACATGGACCGAGGCATTCCTTACAGACGAGGATATCTCCTGTATGGACCTCCTGGATGTGGCAAAAGTAGCTACATAACAGCACTGGCAGGTAAACAATATCAGTAATAATACAGGGCCATACAATACATGTAACAAAACAAATGTGGAGTATGATCAAGGTGTTTTTGTATGGGATTTAAAACCCCCTATATATGAGAAAGAGTTTTTGTATGGGACTAAAACCCCCTATATATGATCAAGGTGTTTTTGTATGGGACTAAAACCCCCTATATATGAGAAGGTGTTTTTGTATGGGACTAAAACCCCCTATATAGGAGAAAGGGTTTTTGTATACTACTTTACCCCTCTACATCTGAGAAAGTGTTTTTGTATGTGATTCTAACCCCCCTTTATCCCAACAAGGGTTTTGATATTATACATCAACCTTCAACATCTGAGGAAGCATTTTGTAAACATTTCCAACCCCCTATATCCAAGCAAGGGTTTCTGAATTGATATAAATTCAAAGTTTGATCCAAAATCAAATGTACAGCATTATTTCAGTCAAAAGAATTTTATCAGAATGGACTTTTTCTCTACAAATGATGAAAATATCCAACACGTAGCTTCACCACACTTGATGATTATTTTTAGGTCCATAGCCATTATGACAGCTTTCTGTTATGGACTTTCTTTTGTGCATAAGTTTGGTAAGATTGCCTACTTGGTGTTGTTTTAACAGGAGAGCTGGACTTCAGTATATGTGTGATGAACCTGAGTGAGCGAGGCATGTCAGATGACCGTCTGAATCATCTACTGACCACAGCCCCAGAACAAAGCATTGTCCTCCTAGAGGATGTAGATGCTGCCTTCCTAAACAGGGACTTAGCTCAGGAAAGTGAGTATTGACCAATGAACTGACAAATAGACAAGTGGGACTTAGCTCAGGAAAGTTAGTATTGACCAATAGCCAGCTTGGACTTGGCTCAGGAAAGTGAGTATTGACCAATAGACAGCTGGGACTTGGCTCAGGAAAGTGAGTATTGACCAATAGACAGCTGGGACTTGGCTCAGGAAAGTGAGTATTGACCAAGAGACAGCTAGGACTTGCCTCAGGAAAGTGAGTATTGACCAATAGACAGCTGGGACTTACCTCAGGAAAGTGAGTATTGACCAAGAGACAGCTGGGACTTGCCTCAGGAAAGTGAGTATTGACCAAGAGACAGCTGGGACTTGCCTTAGGAAAGTGAGTATTGACCAAGAGACAGCTGGGACTTGCCTCAGGAAAGTGAGTATTGACCAAGAGACAGCTGGGACTTGCCTCAGGAAAGTGAGTATTGACCAAGAGACAGCTGGGACTTGCCTCAGGAAAGTGAGTATTGACCAAGAGACAGCTGGGACTTGCCTCAGGAAAGTGAGTATTGACCACAAAAATTGACATTGTGATATTTCTGGTTCACTTTCTGAATACTGTTTGATCAAGGAATAACTGAGTACAGTACAATGGTAGTACATGTATCTCACAACAGTACAGAGCGATGTATAGAGTATAGACGGATGTATTCAGTTACAAGCCTCAATACTGACCGATGTACACAATTACAGGACTCTGTACTTATACAGATACAAGCCTCAATACTGACCGATGTATACAATTACAGGACTCTGTGCTTGTACAGTTATAGCCTTATGTACTGACCCATGTATACAATTACAGGACTCTGTACTTGTACAGATACAAGCCTCAATACTGACCGATGTATACAATTACAGGACTCTGTGCTTGTACAGTTATAGCCTTATGTACTGACCAATATGTAACTAATGATGTTATTTAAATCAGTACAGACTGATGTGTAGTTATTTGACATTATTTATAAATCACACTATGCTTTATATTTTTAACACAGATCCAGTGATGTACCAGGGTATGGGCAGACTCACACTCAGTGGACTCCTCAATGCTATTGACGGTGTAGCATCAGCAGAGGCACGGATCATCTTCATGACCACAAACTATATTGACAGGTGGGATATATAACAACCTATAGACTTAGGTTATCTTACTTCAAAGAGAATTGGGTTATTCAACATAAACAGCCAGGTTATTTTACTACCTTGACAGCTAGATTATCATACTACCCTGACAGCTGGGTTATCTTACTACCTTGACAGCTGGGTTATCTTACTTCCCTGACAGCTGGGTTATCTTACTTCCCTGACAGCTGGGTTATCTTACTACCCTGACAGCTGGGTTATCTTACTACCCTGACAGCTGGGTTATCTTACTACCCTGACAGCTGGGTTATCTTACTACCCTGACAGCTGGGTTATCTTACTTCCCTGACAGCTGGGTTATCTTACTAGCCTGACAGCTGGGTTATCTTAATACCCTGACAGCTGGGTTATCTTACTACCCTGACAGCTGGGTTATCTTACTACATTGACAGCTGGGTTACCATACTATATAGACAGCTGGGTTACCATACTATATAGGCAGCTCGGTTATCGTACTACATTGACAGCTGGGTTATCTTACTACCTTGACAGCTGGGTTACCATACTATATAGACAGCTGGGTTATCGTACTACATTGACAGCTGGGTTACCATACTATATAGACAGCTGGGTTATCTTACTACATTGACAGATGGATTATCTTACTACATTGACAGCTGGGTTACCATACTATAGAGACAGCTCGGTTATCGTACTACATTGACAGCTGGGTTACCATACTATATAGACAGCTGGGTTATCTTATTACCTTGACAGCTGGGTTATCTTACTACCCTGACAGCTGGGTTACCATACTATATAGACAGCTGGGTTATCTTAAGCCTTGACAGCTAGGGTTACCCTACAACATTGATAGCTAGGTTACCAAATTTCATACATTATTTTTCAATTTAACTACAATAGGTCAGAATCTATAAATAGACAGTTTGACTATGACATCTACATCTTGTCTATCATACCATTACTAAATATCACACGGGTCAACTATTAAAATACATAATTTATAAACAGCATCGCTGTACTATTTTTATATGTATATAATCTATAGTTATCTTTGTTCCTTTCACTTTGTATAGCGTAACAATCTGTATTGTTATCATCACGTGATCAAGACAATGCGTTATTACGTCACGACTGAACCGTAATTTTAACCTTAGCTATGCCAATACTTGTACCATTGTTCTGATGACGGCTAGCCTAGCTAGTCAAAACATGTCAACCAAATAAAACTACCGATCACGGAATCCTTGGTGTTGATGCTCCATCCTTTATTAAGTTATTAAAATACATGTTAGTAATCTTAAAAGTATGATACCACCGAGATTTCTCTCCAAAGTTGATACACTAAGTCTTTCTCTTCAGTATTTAAAATAACATTATCTAGCAATTTTGTGTTTAACTGATTGTCTTCAGAGTTTGAATGTTATATCTGTAGACAGTTATATTATATGTTTGTAGACAGTAATATTATATAACATCTGTAGACAGTAATGTTACATATGACATCCATAGACAGTAATACTTTATAACATCTGTAGACAGTAATGTTATATAACATCTGTAGACAGTAATGTTACATATGACATCCATAGACAGTAATACTTTATAACATCTGTAGACAGTAATGTTATATAACATCTGTAGACAGTAATGTTACATATGACATCCATAGACAGTAATACTTTATAACATCTGTAGACAGTAATGTTATATAACATCTGTAGACAGTAATGTTACATATGACATCCATAGACAGTAATACTTTATAACATCTGTAGACAGTAATGTTATATAACATCTGTGTTACATATGACATCCATAGACAGTAATACTTTATAACATCTGTAGACAGTAATATTATATAACATCTGTAGACAGTAATGTTACATATGACATCCATAGACAGTAATACTTTATAACATCTGTAGACAGTAATGTTATATAACATCTGTAGACAGTAATGTTACATATGACATCCATAGACAGTAATACTTTATAACATCTGTAGACAGTAATGTTATATAACATCTGTAGACAGTAATGTTACATATGACATCCATAGACAGTAATACTTTATAACATCTGTAGACAGTAATGTTATATAACATCTGTAGACAGTAATGTTACATATGACATCCATAGACAGTAATACTTTATAACATCTGTAGACAGTAATGTTATATAACATCTGTAGACAGTAATGTTACATATGACATCCATAGACAGTAATACTTTATAACATCTGTAGACAGTAATGTTATATAACATCTGTAGACAGTAATGTTACATATGACATCCATAGACAGTAATACTTTATAACATCTGTAGACAGTAATGTTATATAACATCTGTAGACAGTAATGTTACATATGACATCCATAGACAGTAATACTTTATAACATCTGTAGACAGTAATGTTATATAACATCTGTAGACAGTAATGTTACATATGACATCCATAGACAGTAATACTTTATAACATCTGTAGACAGTAATGTTATATAACATCTGTAGACAGTAATGTTACATATGACATCCATCTACTTTATAACATCTGTAGACAGTAATGTTATATAACATCTGTAGACAGTAATGTTACATATGACATCCATAGACAGTAATACTTTATAACATTTAGACAGTAATGTTATATAACATCTGTAGACAGTAATGTTACATATGACATCCATAGACAGTAATACTTTATAACATCTGTAGACAGTAATGTTATATAACATCTGTAGACAGTAATGTTACATATGACATCCATAGACAGTAATACTTTATAACATCTGTAGACAGTAATGTTATATAACATCTGTAGACAGTAATGTTACATATGACATCCATAGACAGTAATACTTTATAACATCTGTAGACAGTAATGTTATATAACATCTGTAGACAGTAATGTTACATATCCATAGACAGTAATACTTTATAACAGACAGTAATGTTATATAACATCTGTAGACAGCAATATTATATAACATCTGTAGGTAGTTAAATTATATGTTTATAGACTTATATCATATAACATTTGTAGACAGTAATATTTTGTTTGTAGACAGTATATTATATAACATTTAATGGACAGTTATTTTAATTTGTGATTGGTTTGTATCATTCAACAACCTTTTTGTAACATTAACAAACATGATGAATGGTTTACTATCAAGCTAATATAGAGCTAGGAAGGTTAGGGATTTACTGTATAGGAACACCTGTATAAAACACCAACAATATCCATCCATGTTTCAGACTGGATCCAGCCTTAATCCGTCCAGGAAGAGTGGATATCAAAGAACTCATTGATTACAGCACACCCTATCAAATGCAGCAGATGTTTCTCAGATTTTTTCCTGATCAGTCTCAAGAAATGGCAGAATTGTTTTCACAAACTGTGGAAAGTCACGGAAAGAAATGTAGTCCTGCTCAGCTACAGGGCTTATTTCTGCAGACAAAGGACAACCCAGTAAATGCTCTAGAAAACACACAACTCATATGGTCTTCTTGATTCTAAGATTTTATTAGAAGAGTGATTTGCAAAGGAAACTACAAACAAATATTGTCTTCTTGATTTATTTTGTTATTTAAAATGATTTGATATATCAAAATTGAAGTTTGATGTTATTTTATTATCCAATACTGAATTGGAATATCCTAGAATATGTAGCAGTACATCATTTTAGCATTATTAATTACCTGGGTGTGAGGAGGAAAAGCAGATATGGTGATACCGCTATATTTTGGTGACAGCTTGAAAGACCAGCTTAAACATCCTATTCCAGTCTCTCCAAATCTTCTGTGGTTGATGGTGTTGTCACCTACCTGTTTGAAGTGTGTAAATATTTGTATATTTCATATAAGTATGTCTTATGTGTATTGATTGTACTATTTGAATTCCGCACCTATTCTCGTGCGAAACTTTTTAAAAGTTATCGTGCATGGGCAAAGGATGACGGGTAAGGTATTCATAAGCATATTATGAGCTGACAGTGGAACTTCATGTATGGAAGCCCTAAGCAGTCAAATACAGTTGGTGTTTACCAGAGTGAACACGTTGTAGGCTATGTGCTGTTGATTCCTGTCAGTTTTACTGCATACGGATTTACAATGCAGGATTACTGACATGTTTATTTTGTCGTGTTGAATATCATTGATACAACATGCAGCTGGGCCTCCATAGTGTTTGTGTATCAATGACGTTCAACACGACAAAATAAACATGTCAATACTCCTGCATTGTAAATCTGTATGCAGTAAAACTGACACCGAAGTCTGTATTGTCACCGCAATTGACCAGAAATATATGCCAGTAATACACGAATGTAGACAACCTGACACGTGGAAAAAAAACTGATTATAGCTGAGAAATCTTGTATAGTGGGGAAGTAGTGTGGATTTCAGAAGAGAAAACTAACCAACGTGTCACTTCTGCAGCTTCCCCATTGCTGCCCTAGCCTGCAAACAGCGAAATTTTGCGACTTTGAACGAAAAAGATTGGGTTCGATATGGTGGCCGTGAGCACCACCACATCCCACATCTATATTGTGCCGACATTTTAAGCTCGGGACAAAGAGTTTTGGAAAACATGGTTTATTGCCACTGAAGTGGATTAATATTGTAGTACAGTATGTTGTGACTGGAAAAAGGTAGAAAAGGGCAGTGAGAATAAAAGTTCACATGTAAAAATGGGGAAAATATCATTGGTTAGTTTATGTTTAAAATTTTTGATATAAACTATCCAATAATAAATTTCTGTCACTTTCAAACTAAAGAACGAGAAAAATGATCTTTTTTTGTTTTTTTATTAAAACAAATATTTTGAGTTATTAAAAGGAAATAATCTGATCTCAATACAAGTAGAAGAAAGAAGGCAAATGAGAAGTATGAAAATCTTCCTACTTTAAATATTTTAGGAAGATTTCAAACTCCTTATAATTAGGGTAACTTAATGAACACACTCTGGAGTGTAAACCTCTGGTCCATGTTCACACTGAGTACTACTGTGTACAGTATCAAATGAACCAACACAATAACACACTCAGGAGTGTAAACCTCTGGTCCATGTTCACACCGAGTACTACTGTGTACAGTATCAAATGAACCAACACAATAACACACTCTGGAGTGTAAACCTCTGGTCCATGTTCACACGGAGTAGTACTGTGTACAGTATAAAATAGTCTCAAATCAAAGATTTTCTAAAAGACATCAAACTTGACAAAACATTCCTTTCTTTATCAATGGATTGTGATTACAATGACCAGACAATTGGTATATACATGTGTCATCTAAGTACCACCCACGCTCAGCACAGTCATTACAGAGAAAAAATCGCTGACAGAAGGAATGACACTGTAAACTATGAATGGTCCCATTATCAGCAAGTATTTAGTTTTGTTTGCTTGTGTTGGATTTTCTAGGAAAGTGTTGCTTGATGACTGGTGGTGTTAACGGTGTGTACCATTACAAGAGGCATAATGGGCATGTATTACTCACCAGGTATTTAATGCTTTTCCCAAATACATTAACATTTCACTCTATTGACATTCATAGTGTTGTTTTAAAGAAGTCCTTTGAACAAATTTGAACTCTGTGACCTTGAACAGGAGTCAAGGTCATTTCTTTTTGCATTTTTTAACAAGCTTCATGCAAGGAACCTACAAAGTGAGCCTTCTAGAACTTTTGTGTAATCATCACAAGTTCTTTACAGGTTTTAACAAATTTGACCCCTGTGACCTTGAATAGAAGTCAAGATCATTTCTTAGTTGGGATTCACCAACAGAATATTCCAGCTAAATATAAAATTCAAGTCTTCTTGGGAAAAGTTGACATCAAAGGGACAGACAACACACCAAGACATAAGCTCACCTGGCCCTTTGGGTCATGTGAACTAATGATATTGACAATGGCAAATCAAGGATCAACTCATATTTACTTTTGCATCCATTGTATGAACTTTGTCTGGAGTCAGTTAGTTGCATACTAACATCAACTACATCAACCTTCAAAGCAATTAACTGAACAGAATTTTATCTATTTATTTACCGGTAGTCTGCGAACTTTGTCTACCTATGGTCCCACACTGTGAGTCCTTCACCAGTAATTTACCGGTAGTCTGCGAACTTTGTCTACCTATGGTCCCACACTGTGAGTCCTTCACCAGTAATTTACCGGTAGTCTGCGAACTTTGTCTACCTATGGTCCCACACTGTGAGTCCTTCACCAGTAATTTACCGGTAGTCTGCGAACTTTGTCTACCTATGGTCCCACACTGTGAGTCCTTCACCAGTAATTTACCGGTAGTCTGCGAACTTTGTCTACCTATGGTCCCACACTGTGAGTCCTTCACCAGTAATTTACCGGTAGTCTGCGAACTTTGTCTACCTATGGTCCCACACTGTGAGTCCTTCACCAGTAATTTACCGGTAGTCTGCGAACTTTGTCTACCTATGGTCCCACACTGTGAGTCCTTCACCAGTAATTTACCGGTAGTCTGCGAACTTTGTCTACCTATGGTCCCACACTGTGAGTCCTTCACCAGTAATTTACCTGTAGTCTGCGAACTTTGTCTACCTATGGTCCCACACTGTGAGTCCTTCACCAGTAATTTACCGGTAGTCTGCGAACTTTGTCTACCTATGGTCCCACACTGTGAGTCCTTCACCAGTAATTTACCGGTAGTCTGCGAACTTTGTCTACCTATGGTCCCACACTGTGAGTCCTTCACCAGTAATTTACCGGTAGTCTGCGAACTTTGTCTACCTATGGTCCCACACTGTGAGTCCTTCACCAGTAATTTACCGGTAGTCTGCGAACTTTGTCTACCTATGGTCCCACACTGTGAGTCCTTCACCAGTAATTTACCGGTAGTCTGCGAACTTTGTCTACCTATGGTCCCACACTGTGAGTCCTTCACCAGTAATTTACCGGTAGTCTGCGAACTTTGTCTACCTATGGTCCCACACTGTGAGTCCTTCACCAGTAATTTACCGGTAGTCTGCGAACTTTGTCTACCTATGGTCCCACACTGTGAGTCCTTCACCAGTAATTTACCGGTAGTCTGCGAACTTTGTCTACCTATGGTCCCACACTGTGAGTCCTTCACCAGTAATTTACCGGTAGTCTGCGAACTTTGTCTACCTATGGTCCCACACTGTGAGTCCTTCACCAGTAATTTACCGGTAGTCTGCGAACTTTGTCTACCTATGGTCCCACACTGTGAGTCCTTCACCAGTAATTTACCGGTAGTCTGCGAACTTTGTCTACCTATGGTCCCACACTGTGAGTCCTTCACCAGTAATTTACCAGTAGTAATCGAACTTTGTAACCTTTCCCACATTAGGATATAAATAACAATTTAGAATGATAGTTATTTGATGTCATATACATATGGTCCCACACTGTGAGTCCTTCACCAGTAATTTACCTGCAAAGTTTCTTTAATACTAACTTTCCCACACTGTGAGTCCTTCACCAGTAATTTACCGGTAGTCTGCAAACTTTGTCTACCTATGGTCCCACACTGTGAGTCCTTCACCAGTAATTTACCAATAAAACAATGATCATCCTTAATAACCTATGGTCCCACACTGTGAGTCCTTCACCAGTAATTTACCTGTTTGAACAGTCATCATAAACTGGTCCCACACTGTGAGTCCTTCACCAGTAATTTACCGGTAGTCTGCGAACTTTGTCTACCTATGGTCCCACACTGTGAGTCCTTCACCAGTAATTTACTGATAGTCTGCGAACTTTGTCTACCTATGGTCCCACACTGTGAGTCCTTCACCAGTAATTTACCAGTAGTCTGCGAACTTTGTCTACCTATGGTCCCACACTGTGATTCCTTCACCAGTAATTTACCTCCTCTTCACACGTCTCTTTGTTGTTGTGACATGGTCCCACACTGTGAGTCCTTCACCAGTAATTTACCGGTAGTCTGCAAACTTTGTCTACCTATGGTCCCACACTGTTGGAGTCCTTTATCTTTACAATGTTGCCATAGTAATCAAAGAGCATGTAACCTTTGACATTAGGATATAAATAACAATTTAGAATGATCAGTTATTTGATGATCATATACATATAGGGAAAGTTCAAACATACTGTAAAACCTCTTTTCTCCAAATGAACAATGCAAAGTTTCTTATAATACAAAACTTTCAACAATCCCTGATCACATTGAATATTTTACAATGATAACAAAATTTAATAAAACATTAGCTAAAACTAGCCTTGACAGGCAAGTACAACAATAAAACAATGATCATCCTTAATAACCATATGACGACAAATCAGAATTGGACATGCACATAATCTACACTGTTTGAACAGTCATCATAAACTTCCATGAAGAAATGTAGATGATACTCAAGAGTTATGTCCCTTCTATGACATAGTAGTGCAGGTTTGGCAGCAATATCAGCATGCTGATATCCATTGTAACAATCTTTTCCAGTTGTTTAGTTCTCAGGGTGGACAAGTTAGCAGCACACTCAAGTCCATTATAACATTATTTTTCTTGTTTTGTTCTCAGGGTGGAGAAGTCTGCATGCTCACATCTACTGTTACAACTTTCCTCCTCTTCACACGTCTCTTTGTTGTTGTGACTGTAAAGAAGACAGGAAGACTTTATGTTCTGATAGTACATACACAATTAATGGAGTATCACTATGTATTACAAAGTTCATTTGAAACTAGGTCATGATTTCTTGTAAGCCAATGATAAGAAGTTGCATTTTATCAAATGTGACTTCTCAGACATTCCTTCAGAAATTCATCTTTTTATTGCTTGGGACAACTGCAGAAAACAAAAACAAGGAGAATTCCAATTACAAGGTATTTGTCAGACATCACCTCAGATTGATACAATACCAGTTACACTGTCTATATCAGACATCACCTCAGATTGATACAATACCAGTTACACTGTCTATATCAGACATCACCTCAGATTGATACAATACCAGTTACACTGTCTATATCAGACATCACCTCGGATTGATACAATACCAGTTACACTGTCTATATCAGACATCACCTCAGATTGATACAATACCAGTTACACGTATTTCTCAGACATCACCTCAGATTGATACAATACCAGTTACACTGTCTATATCAGACATCACCTCAGATTGATACAATACCAGTTACAACGTATTTCTCAGACATCACCTCAGATTGATACAATACCAGTTACAATAACAGTTACCATTACACTGTATATATCAGACATCACCTCAGATTGATACAATACCAGTTACACTGTCTATATCAGACATCACCTCAGATTGATACAATACCAGTTACACTGTCTATATCAGACATCACCTCAGATTGATACAATACCAGTTACACTGTCTATATCAGACATCACCTCAGATTGATACAATACCAGTTACACTGTCTATATCAGACATCACCTCAGATTGATACAATACCAGTTACAACGTATTTCTCAGACATCACCTCAGATTGATACAATACCAGTTACAACGTATTTCTCAGACATCACCTCAGATTGATAGAATACCAGTTATACTGTCTATATCAGACATCACCTCAGATTGATACAATACCAGTTACACTGTCTATATCAGACATCACCTCAGATTGATACAATACCAGTTACACTGTCTATATCAGACATCACCTCAGATTGATACAATACCAGTTACACTGTCTATATCAGACATCACCTCAGATTGATACAATACCAGTTACAACATATTTCTCAGACATCACCTCAGATTGATAGAATACCAGTTACACTGTCTATATCAGACATCACCTCAGATTGATAGAATACCAGTTACACTGTCTATATCAGACATCACCTCAGATTGATAGAATACCAGTTACACTGTCTATATCAGACATCACCTCAGATTGATACAATACCAGTTACACTGTCTATATCAGACATCACCTCAGATTGATACAATACCAGTTACACTGTCTATATCAGACATCACCTCAGATTGATACAATACCAGTTACAACGTATTTCTCAGACATCACCTCAGATTGATACAATACCAGTTACACTGTATATATCTCTCATATAATCAATCTAAATTTGACAAGAATGTTTGTAATTCCATCAATGCTTAGGATTAAAATCCATTTTTTGTGAAAATTGAGTGGAGTTTTCATCAGCCTTAAATATCCAGACTTTGCTCTGTGACATTACTTGGTTGTTTGTCACCAAACAAAATGAAGACATAGTCACGCATGATACGTGTCTTTACTTGGTTTTCACCCACTTACATTTAGAGATCCCCTTCTGCCAGCCCTACAGGTCTACATGAAATTTGAGAAAGATCTATAGAGTAGTTCTCAAGAAATAGTGATAACAAACTTTCAAAGTCAAAATCTAAGATGGCTGTCTATCGGCAATTTTGCTTTTCTGATTAGACCCGAAATCAAAGCGGCACAACTAAGGACCAAAGGAAAGCTACATATGAAATTTAAGAAAGATTCATCTAGAAAAAGCGATCAAACTTTCAAGATGGTTGCCTTTCAACCATTTTGTTTTTCTGATCAGTCCCAAAATTACATGCTATTTTTGTTAAACAATTTGTACAAAAATATTGTAAAATCTCCTGTAATAACTCTGCATTGTGACCTATTGAAGCCAAAGTGAGATGAACTTTCCACTGCATGTACATCAGCTACACATTCTCACTGTTAGGTTGTGGTTTAACACTCAATTGTTGCTATTTCTGATATACTTAAAATTATCTAAACTTTTCCTTAGAAATAAACTTCACCACAGTGGTCATCATCTACAAATTTTCATGTCTTCTTACTGCTTAGGTAACCTTTCATTAAGAGCTAAATATGTTCAGTATGTAACCATTTTCATATTTGTTACTAAATTGTCCCTTTAAGAAAGTTTGGAGAATTTTGTCTTTAGTTTGCTTAGAGTTAGAGAAAATGAATGGAGTGTTTATGGAGGGATTTGATATTTTTTCAATGAGTTGAAGGAGAAATGTGGAGTGTTAATGTTATCCAGGTGTTCAGTGACCTTTATATGATAACCTTGAGGTCAAGGACTGCTGAGGTCAGGATATCCCACATGTCCAACCTTTTTTGACAGGCATATCACTATTGCCTCCACTATTGATGGTAACTGGTGATTTCATCCTAATAGCAGCCCCTGTTGGTGATTTAGGAGTCCTAGTTGGGTTGCCCGGGATAATTCCCTTTGAAGACACCATGTTTCTAGGAGATGCCACAGTTCTGGGAGATGCCACAGCCCTAGGAGATGTCACAACCTTTGGAGACTGGACCCCTGATATTTTCCTACTGGTAGCTGCTACTTTCCTCTTGGGTGTAGATTCCCTTTGTTTAGCAGCAGATGAAGTCTTAGCCACAGCTTTTTGTTTAGGTTTGGAAGCAGACACCTCAACTCCTGTACTTTTCCGTTTTATTCCTTTCTGTAAACAATACAGACAATGAAAATTAAAACTTTGCTACATATCACAGTGAAAGAATATGTACCGACTAGGAATTATTCAATATTTAACAATGTTACAGCATCACTCCCCTCTTGATGTATCAGCAAAACATATTTCTTAATGACACAAGTTATATTCCTTCAAACTAGGTACTGATCACTAGAAATATGTCTGTAAGACATGATTGATCTGTGTTTACTTATACATGTGATATGTGACATTATCAGTGACTGAAATAGATTAGGGATGAACTGTAAGGTAAATTGTCATATATTGTTAATGTCCCTCTGATATGTGTCATTAGTGACTGACATAGATTAGGGATGAACTGTAAGGTAAATTGTCATATATTGTTAATGTCCCTCTGATAAGTGTCATTAGTGACTGACATAGATTAGGGATGAACTGTAAGGTAAATTGTCATATATTGTTAATGTCCTTCTGATACATGTCATTAGTGACTGACATAGATTAGGGATGAACTGTAAGGTAAATTGTCATATATTGTTAATGTCCCTCTGATATGTGTCATTAGTGACTGACATAGATTAGGGATGAACTGTAAGGTAAATTGTCATATATTGTTAATGTCTGATACGTGTCATTAGTGACTGACATAGATTAGGGATGAACTGTAACGTAAATTGTCATATATTGTTAATGTCCCTCTGATACGTGTCATTAGTGACTGACATAGATTAGGGATGAACTGTAAGGTAAATTGTCATATGTAATAAAATCAATGTATATCACGTTTGTTTTAACAAGAACAGATCATGAAGAATCTTACAAGAAAATTGATTTACACTATATTAAAGCATTTTAACATTAAAACCTACTAATGACTGACATCTGTCTCTGATGTTGATGCTGAAAATAGGATAACATCATCCTTATTCTTCAGTGATATTAATATTGTCAGTATACATGTGATTACAGATAATAAATGCTCAAAAGGAAAAATGTCTACAATAAGTGAGACAAAATCAGACAAATATCTACCGTTAGGGAGACAAAATCAGACAAATATTTACTTAAGTGAGACGAAATCAGACAATGTCTACCGTTAGTGAGACAAAATCAGACAAATATCTACCGTTAGTGAGACAAAATCAGACAAATATTTACTTTAGTGAGACAAAAATCTACCTTTGGTGAGACAAAATCAGGTAAATATCTACTTTGGTGAGACAGAATCAGACAAATATTTACCGCTAATGAGACAAAAACAGACATATCTACCTTTGATGAGACAAAATTAGACAAATATCTACCTTTGGTGAGACAAAATCAGACATATATCTACTGTTAGTGAGACAAAATCAAACAAATATTTACTTTAGTGAGACAAAATCAGACAAATATTTACTTTAGTGAGACAAAAATCTACCTTTGGTGAGACAAAATCAGGTAAATATTTACTTTAGTGAGACAAAATCAGACAAATATCTACCTTTGGTGAGACAAAATCAGACAAATATCTACCGTTAATGAGACAAAATCAGACAAATATATACCTTTGGTGAGACAAAATCAGACAAATATATACTTTTGGTGAGACAAAATCAGGTAAATATCTACCTTTGGTGAGACAAAATCAGGTAAATATCTACCTTTGGTGAGACAAAATCAGACATATATCTACTGTTAGTGAGACAAAATCAGACAAATATTTACTTTAGTGAGACAAAATCAGACAAATATCTACCTTTGGTGAGACAAAATCAGACATATATCTACCTTTGGTGAGACAAAATCAGACAAATATCTACCTTTGGTGAGATAAAATCAGACAAATATATACTTTTGGTGAGACAAAATCAGGTAAATATCTACCTTTGGTGAGATAGGGCCGCTGAGGGGTAAATCTAGTTTCCATTCATCTTTTACTCCAAGATTTTTAAGACCTCTTCTAAATATCATCCTCATGCCGTCATAGTTTGGGCATTCTTCATATCGTAATTTCTCAACCATTTCAAAGTACTTTTGTACTTCATCTGTAAAAGAATAAAATATGCTTTGGTTTTTAATACAGCCATCTTACACAAACTGACACTCAAAGTTTTTTATGGGCCGATATCCATACATCATCACAGTTACAGTGGAAAAAAATAGTTTTCATGTTCCTTCATCTTAACACTGGACAAAATACTGCCCTCATGTTCCTTCATCTTAACACTGGACAAAATACTGCCCTCATGTTCCTTCATCTTAACAATGGACCAAATACAGCCCTCATGTTCCTTCATCTTAACAATGGACAAAATACAGCACTCATGTTCCTTCATCTTAACACTGGACAAAATACTGCCCTCATGTTCCTTCATCTTAACACTGGACAAAATACTGCACTCATGTTCCTTCATCTTAACACTGGACAAAATATAGTCTTCATGTTACATCATCTTAACACTGGACAAAATACTGCCCTCATGTTCCTTCATCTTAACACTGGACAAAATACAGCCCTCATGTTCCTTCATCTTAACAATGGACAAAATACAGCCCTCATGTTCCTTCATCTTAACACTGTACAAAATATAGTCTTCATGTTACTTCATCTTAACACTGGACAAAACACTGCCCTCATGTTTCTTCATCTTAACAATGGACAAAATACAGCCCTCATGTTCCTTCATCTTAACACTGGACAAAATATAGTCTTCATGTTACATCATCTTAACACTGGACAAAATACTGCCCTCATGTTCCTTCATCTTAACATTGGACAAAATACAGCCCTCATGTTCCTTCATCTTAACAATGGACAAAATACAGCACTCATGTTCCTTCATCTTAACACTGGACAAAATACTGCCCTCATGTTCCTTCATCTTAACACTGGACAAAATACTGCACTCATGTTCCTTCATCTTAACACTGGACAAAATATAGTCTTCATGTTACATCACCTTAACACTGGACAAAATACTGCCCTCATGTTCCTTCATCTTAACAATGGACAAAATACAGCCCTCATGTTCCTTCATCTTAACACTGAACAAAATATAGTCTTCATGTTACTTCATCTTAACACTGGACAAAATACAGCCCTCATGTTCCTTCATCTTAACACTGGACAAAATATAGTCTTCATGTTACATCATCTTAACACTGGACAAAATACTGCCCTCATGTTCCTTCATCTTAACATTGGACAAAATACAGCCCTCATGTTCTTTCATCTTAACACTGGACAAAATATAGTCTTCATGTTACATCATCTTAACACTGGACAAAATACTGCCCTCATGTTCCTTCATCTTAACACTGGACAAAATACAGCACTCATGTTCCTTCATCTTAACACTGGACAAAATATTTCCCTTATGTTTCTCTATCATAACAGCCGACTCAAAATAGCTCTCATGTTCCTTTATCTAAGTCTACTCTCACACATTTGTTTAAACAGTCAATTAATAAACATGCAACCTATTTACTTCAGTAGGAGTATATAGCTGTCTTAAAAGTATTATCAAGGATATAAGCAGACAGGGCATTCCGTCTGTCTGGTTATAACGTACCCTGTACCTAACATACAGTATACAAGTCTTACACACAAAGCAGTCTGTCTGTCTGGTTATAATGTACCCTGTACCTAACATACAGTATACAAGTCTAACACACATAGCAGTCTGTCTGGTTTTAATGTACCCTGTACCTACCATACAGTATATAAGTCTTACACACACAGCAGTCTGTCTGTCTGGTTATAATGTACCCTGTACCTAACATACAGTATACAAGTCTAACACACATAGCAGTCTGTCTGGTTTTAATGTACCCTGTACCTACCATACAGTATATAAGTCTTACACACACAGCAGTCTGTCTGTCTGGTTATAATGTACCCTGTACCTAATGTACAGTATACAAGTCTTACACACACAGCAGTCTGTCTATCTGGTTATAATGTACCCTGTATCTAACATACAGTATACAAGTCTTACACACACAGCAGTCTGTCTATCTGGCTATAATGTACCCTGTACCTACCAGGAATGTTTCCATCACTAAAACAGACCTTCATCAAACTGGCGATGTTTTTGGTGTATCTGTTGGGATGAGACAGAATAACTGATTTCAGAACACATCTATGTTTATAACACAAAAACAACAAGCAATTGGAACAACACAAATCTCGTTGGAATTCAACCTTGACTGATGCACAATAAAAAATCACTTAGTGTGTGAAGTTTGATCAATGCAATGGGATTTTATGACCCTTTCGGAGATGGGAAGTTAGATAAAAATCGCTTGAGGAAAGATGCTACTAGAGTGTTGATAAGGATGTTAAAAATATCACCTTGACCTTGCAACCCTAAATCTACTCAAATATATCATGGTCCACTATAAGAATATCAAGTTTGATCATATTATCTCAAACAATGAAGTTACATGTACTTGAGTCCTAACATGAAATGTCTTAACAAAAAAAAACCCTGATATTCACTCCTATCTAAGATATCTGGGTCCTTATAAGTTTAAGTGTGTGATGTTTGATCAAATCTCCTCAAGGACTGAAGGCTGATATTGATTTTCTTAACCTTTTAACCTTGAAAATATGAACAAGTCCGAGGTGTTATAGTCCTTGATTTGTAAGTGTATGAATTTGATCAGATTTCCTCAAGAAAAGATTACATTTTACCACTGCTGATAAGAGATCTTTTAAAAGCAGTGAAACTGACCCTACAGTCCTTAAAGTCAAGCTCTTCTGAAATAGCATATTAATGCACCAAAGACAGGGATATCTCACCTAAACCTAGATTTTGTCTAGTACCCTTACTTGTATTTTCACAGAATTTTTTACATAACAGTGTATCATCCACTGTGGCACCTACACCCATGCATTCCAACAAAAACATAGGTAATGTCATTGTGTATTTTTTTCATGTTTTTAAGATTCCTGAAGTTGCAGACAAAATAAAATCTTCACTGTAAAATGTGTTGTATTTTTTGTAAGTGCGGCCTACATTGTTTACGCTGCACTAACCAAATGTTGTTTAAAAGTGAAGAGGCTGTGTGAGTAGTCTGAGGCTCCCACAGGATACACCAAACTCTGATGAAGTATTGGATAAGTGTATGATGTTTGGTCCTCAAAGAAAGAAGTCCACAGAGCACTGACAAGTCCATTTGTTACATACATAACTGTGTACAAAGCACCATGCATACACTTGGTAACTTCCCTATATCCCCCTTGTCCAGAGTCTGGTTTTCAGCTGTGCAGGGATAGCTGTATTGTATGGTCTCTAGAACCCACTGTTAATTGTATTGTCATCAACAGAGAATATTTATAATCTAAGTATAAACTAACATATCCCATCAAACTTCTATCCCTTAAGTTAGGTCTCTTAAAACAATGTTTCAGTCAGCATATAGAAAATGTGAAGGACTGAGAAAAAATGACCAAAAAGGATAATCTAACTAAATTATAGCAAACAAGGAGAGTAATGTTCAGCATTTGTTATTTCCAAGGTATGAACAAAGAATCTACAGGTGAAATATCAATTTTCTCATTCACTGAATGCAGCTTTCAGAATTTCTGCTTTCCTTCTTGATGTTAAATCAATCTTGAATTTGGATATGCATTATTATTATTGGTAATTTAAAAGAACAAACACTCACTTAAACTTCTCCGCAGCTACAAAGTCGCTGTTAGCCAGGTTGGTTTCCCATGGAAGACGGCCACACAGCCACTGTAGCAGACAGAAACCCAAAATCTCCATGTCACCACGACGTGATGGTGCTGAAGGAAGAATGCAAAGAAGAAGAGTAATATAGTGATCTTAAACAGCTGTATGATGCAGTTTAATTCATAGTTTGACTCTACTGTATCTCACTCTAAATTATGAAAAGGTGCTATTAACTTGTGTGTCTTTTGTACAATCTTTATGATAGCAGTTGGTAGACACTGCTGGTGGACTTGAAATTTGCCATAACTTGCTTGCCACATTCAAATTCACTCAGAAAATACACATGTACTTGACATTATTCTTAAATTGTCTGATATATGAAAATTATGAACTTCATCTAATTATGGGGCTGCTGCACTTCCTGTCTAAATTTTGACTTTTCTTTCTATCACTTGGGATTTTTCTTAGTCGCCTCCTAGGGTTCAAATTTTAGGTTCTTAGCATCACTGAGGAGTCCTAGAAGGACAAAACAGCTGTATGATGCAGTTTAGTTCATTGTTTCGCTGTGCTGTATCCAAATTTTAATATGAAATTGTGCTATTCACTAGGGTATCTTTTGTACAAACTTTGTACAATGTGATCCTCACTTCATTCCATTGTACAACTTCCCTGAACATTTTTTTCCCTTGAATTTTACAAGACATTCCCAAGTACAGCTACATAAACTTTATTCTGCTGTAAATGTTGTGATGTGATATTGTTGTCGTACCTAAATACATCGAGGTTGAGTGTCCTACCTTCAAACATCTACACCCAGCTGAGTGTCATACCTACTTACATCCTGGTGAGTGTCACACCTACATACATCTAGGTGAGTAACACACCTACCTACATCCTATTGAGTGTCACACCTACCTACATCCAGGTGAGTGTCACACCTACCTACATCCAGGTGAGTGTCATACCTACTTACATCTTGGTGAGTAACACACCTACCTCCATCCAGGTGAGTGTCACACCTACCTACATCCAGGTGAGTGTCACACCTACCTACATCCAGGTGAGTAACACACCTACCTACATCCTGGTGAGTGTCACACCTACCTACATCCAGGTGAGTGTCACACCTACCTACATCCTGGTGAGTGTCACACCTACCTACATCCTGGTGAGTGTCACACCTACCTACATCCAGGTGAGTGTCACACCTACCTACACCCAGGTGAGTGTCACACCTACCTACAACCAGCTGAGTGTCATACCTACCTACATCAAGGTGAGTGTCACACCTACCTACAACCAGCCGAGTGTCACACCTACCTACATCCTGGTGAGTGTCACACCTACATACATCAAGGTGAGTGTCACACCTACCTACAACCAGCTGAGTGTCACACCTACCTATACCCAGGTGAGTGTCACACCTACCTTCATCCTGGTGAGTGTCACACCAACCTACACCTAGGTGAGTGTCACACCTACCTACATCCTGGTGAGTGTCACACCTACCTACATCAAGGTGAGTGTGAGTGTCACACCTACCTATACACCAGGTGAGTGTCACACCTACCTCACACCTACCACATACCCAGGTGAGTGTCACACCTACCTTCATCCTGGTGAGTGTCACACCAACCTACACCTAGGTGAGTGTCACACCTACCTACATCCAGGTGAATGTCACACCTACCTTCATCCTGGTGAGTGTCACACCAACCTACACCTAGGTGAGTGTCACACCTACCTACATCCAGGTGAGTGTCACACCTACCTACATCAAGGTGAGTGTCACACCTACCTACAACCAGCTGAGTGTCACACCTACCTACACCCAGGTGAGTGTCACACCTACCTACATCCTGGTGAGTGTCACACCTACCTACACCTAGGTGAGTGTCACACCTACCTACATCCTGGTGAGTGTCACACCTACCTATATCCTGGTGAGTGTCACACCTACCTACACCCAGGTGAGTGTCACACCTACCTACATCCAGGTGAGTGTCACACCTACCTACATCCAGGTGAGTGTCATACTGACTTACATCTTGGTGAGTGTCACACCTACCTACATCCACGTGAGTGTCACACCTACCTACAACCAGCTGAGTGTCATACCTACCTACACCAAGGTGAGCATCAGTACTTGTGAATTCAATGGTACCATCGTGAGCCATCCTTTTGTCCTCTTTATATGGTTTATGTACACCATCTTTCTCATACTTGACAGCAAGGCCATAGTCCACTAAGAAAACCTAATGTAAAAATATATGGTTTTATTCATTCTGTGACAAAATCAAAGAGATCATATGTCGTAACTTATCATGCACCATTTAACTGCTTACTATCAGACAACAGCTTATTGCTAAATGACCAGTAAACTGGTCTTACCTCATCAGGGTTGTTGTTTGCCTGCACTAAACCACAACCTGGTCTTACCCAATCAGGTTGTTGTTTGCCTGCACTAAACCACAACCTGGTCTTACCTCATCAGGGTTGTTGTTTGCCTGCACTAAACCACAACCTGGTCTTACCCAATCAGGTTGTTGTTTGCCTGCACTTAACCCCAAACTGGTCTTACCTCATCAGGTTGTTGTTTGCCTCACTTAACCCCAACCTGGTCTTACATCATCAGGTTGTTGTTTGCCTGCACTAAACCACAACCTGGTCTTTCCTCATCAGGTTGTTGTTTGTTTGCACTAAACCCCAAACTGGTCTTTCCTCATCAGGTTGTTGTTTGCCTGCACTTAACCCCAAACTGGTCTTACCTCATCAGGTTGTTGTTTGTTTGCACTGAACCCCAAACTGGTCTTACCTCATCAGGTTGTTGTTTGCCTCACTTAACCCCAACCTGGCCTTACCTCATCAGGTTGTTGTTTGCCTGCACTAAACCCCAACCTGGTCTTACCTCATCAGGTTGTTGTTTGCCTGCACTAAACCCCAAAATAGTCTTACCTCATCAGGTTGTTTGCCTGCACTAAACCCCAAACTGGTCTTACATTACCAGGTTGTTTGCCTGCACTAAACCCCAAAATAGTCTTACCTCATTAGGTTGTTGTTTGCCTGCACTAAACCCAAGTAACATATTGGATGCCTTGATGTCTGCATGGACATAAGAATTGTGGTGTATATACTCCAAAGCATCAATCTGTCAAAAATTAGTAAAACATTCAGTAAGAAAATGTTGTCATTGGAAGAAAATGCATCGTGATTATATTTGTTGTTTTAATGAAAAGATGAAATCCATGTCTCTCTTATACCTTCTGCTCTTACCAATTGTCACAGTGACTCTCAATCACAGATCCAAATACATGTAAGTTTTACATACAGAGACAATGGTATTTGAAAGTGTTTTGAATATAAAACGAAAATACATTCTGTAAGTTTTCCTGCTGGTATTCAAACAGTGATTTTACAATAAGCAGTTCTACAAAATAAGAAAAGGAAGTCAGCATCAAGGACAAAATACAAGTAACAGGACTATATGACTTCAATGAAAGTTGTATCTTCTATCTGATCCCAATCCTTCTGGTAACACTCACCATCCTTAGTGCCAGGCAGTACACTGTATGTGTTTCAAAGCGTTTCCCTGCACCTTCAAATAGCTTCTGTACATCTGAGCCAAACCTCTCCATGACCATGAATCTGAACTGTGTGTTGTCACGTATATATGAACCAGTGGCAATAAACTTTGGCACTCCAAGATATTTTTGCTTCTTTTCTTTTTTCCATGATTCAACTTTAAAAAATGTGGTAAAGAAGATGGCGATTCACTAATGGTTCGTTAGTGTATTGTCTTTCATGTCAAACATACATGCATATCTAATGAATAAAAACATTTTGTCATCATAGAAACTTAGTGTTTGCTTCTGTATTTTTACTATCCTGTACCATCTGTCAGCTAACTAACTTCCACAAAATATCCACATACAATCAGGAGTGAAACATGAAATGCTTCCATTTGACTTTCAATTTTTCGTAAATGCAGCAAATAATTTTAGTGACAACGACTAAATTATTAGTACTTGTAACCAGCAGTACTACATAGTAGTACATGGTGTAGACCCTCTAAAGATAAAATGTAACCAACAGTACTATGTGGTACAGCATGGTGTAGACCCTCTAAAGATAAAATGTAACCAGCAGTACTACATAGTAGTACATGGTGTAGACCCTCTAAAGATAAAATGTAACCAACAGTACTATGTGGTACAGCATGGTGTAGACCCTCTAAAGGTAAAATGTAACCAACAGTACTATGTGGTACAGCATGGTGTAGACCCTCTAAAGATAAAATGTAACCAACAGTACTATGTGGTACAGCATGGTGTAGACCCTCTAAAGATAAAATCAAATACAGCACGGGGGCTTGCTATCATCTTTAGCGCATCTAAAACAGGAGATTATTTTTCTGTCAATTAAAATTAGCTAGCTGCTGTGTCTTTAAATGGCATCTTCAAGGTTATTAGTTTGTAATGTGTCAGATATCACTTTCAGGAATGTTTCTTGAAACTTTGGGAAAACAGCATGGCAACATTGTCTATTTGAGTAAATATCTGTTAAATGATAGATTGAAATCAGCAATCTAAATGCACTACTGATAGGACATACTTTCTGTCTATATCTTCAGTGTTTACACTGAATGTCAAATTTTAGTTACATCAACAAAACTTTGGAGAATTTCCTGAAAACCAGAGGGCAGAGACCGATCATTTATACAAAACGGCTTTCCCTTTACCCGTGTATGCTTCAGACCAAACTGAGACAGAATCCTGTTATTTCTACAGAATAAGAAGGATTTTGAAGAACTCTTCTATTTCCCCTATTGGACCCTACCCTACCTCCTCCACAGTACAAAGACTAATCATTTATACAAATTGAGTCCTCTTCACCCAAGCATGCTACAGACCATATAAGGACAGCATCCAAGCATTCCTACTGAAGGATTTTAAATATTTTCTCTATTTCCCATATTTTACTCGTCTCTCCTGCCCCATCCTACTGTTTATACAAATTAGATTCCCTTCATCCAACCATACTTTGACCAAATTGGGACAACACTGAAGCATTTCTATTGAAAATGATAAATTGAAAAAAAAAGCCCCAAAAAAACTTTTACCTACTGGGTCAATCCCCTCCCACCCCAAACGGTCCTGTGACCATCTTTTTACATAAAAATTATTTCACTTCAGCAAAGGTTGCTTCAAAACAAATTTGGGCTAAGTCCATTATCATACTTACAGGGGGAGCAGAAATTTCAGGAATTTGCTCTGTTTTACAGATTGGGTCCTGCCCCTTCTGTCCCAACAAGGAGGCAGAGACCCACAATTTATACCAAACTGCTTCACCAAAGCATGCTTCAGACCACACCGGAACAGAATCCTGAAATTCCTACAGGGAGAAGATGGGTATTAATGCAGATGCTTTATTTTCCCTATTGAGCCTCACCCCCTCCAAGGGGGTCAGGGGGTCAATACTCACCATTTAAACAAAATTGATTCCCCTTTACCCAAGAATGCTTCGGAGCAAATTTGGGCAAAATCCAAAATCCAATCATTCCTACAGGAAGAGTAGATTTTAAAGATTTCGCTTTTCCCCTATTCTGTCCCACCAGTTCTTCCCCAGAGAGCCAAGACCCACTGTAAAGGATGCTTCTGACCAAATTTGGGCAAAATCCAATAATTCCTGAAGTAGGGGTAGGGTTTTAAAGAATTTTCTCTTTTTCACTACTTGGGCCCCTGCCCCTCCCCTTCAAAGGGACTGAAACCCACCATTTATACAAAACTGATTCAAATTCACCCGTGGATGCTTCAGACCAAATCTGGGCAAAATCCCATTATTTCTGCAGAAGAAGAGGGATTTTAAAGAACATGCTAAATTTCCCATGTTTGGTCAGCCTATCAGACCCCTGGGGCATAGAACCAATATTATACAAACATGGTTCTCCTTCCCCCAGGGATGCTTCTAACAAAATTTGGTCAAAATCTGTTTCGTCATTCATGACTTGTAGAGATCTTTAAGGAAAAAAAAGTTAATTGACAACGGATGCCATACCATGGCATAATCTCACCAATCCTTCAGACTAGATGAGCTAAAAACACATCTTACTCATGTCTGCTTTTGCCACTCTTTGATAATAATGGAGTTCACAAAACAATGGTCCGTTGGAATGTGGCTCCTGAAAATAAAGGAAATATAACATGATAAGTTTTTCCACAGCACACTGCTACACTTCCACCTGTGTAATACCAATCTGTCTGGTGCAATAAACTCTAGTTGATATGACATGTATTACACATCTGTCTGAAATAATATAAACATTTCATGTGTTCAGTTTATTATTCCTGATAACCCTGAAATATATATTTTAATATAACGACATACAGAGTTGAGATAATTAGCTTCTCAATTTCAGTGCCTGACATGACAAGATATCCCTATCTTATGTACATGTATAATCTACAGAATCTGTATCTAAAGATGTATAACAAAGAGAATTGGGAGGGATCACCAAGATTGGGAGATTTATTATACATCTGTATTAGTAAAATTTATCTTACATTGGTCTCTAGAGCTAACTCAAGTTAAATTCACTTCTGGTATCAAGTTTTAATCGATCTACCACACTATATTGTCAAACTTACAATTTTTACAACATATGGAGCATTTGCTTCCACTGGACATCCAATTTCATTGGCTGGAAAACAAAGGGAAAACAATCTTTGTAGAAACAATACATTACAAAAAGTCTTCAGGTAGAGTTCAGCCTACATAGACAAATGTCTACATCTTATAGCTAATGTGATTTACCACCAGTACAAAGAAATCATTTAACAGTTCAGCCTACATAGACAAATGTCTACATCTTATAGCTAATGTGATTTACCACCAGTACAAAGAAATCATTCAACAGTTCAGTCTATAGACATCTTATAGCTAATGTGATTTACCACCAGTACAAAGAAATCATTCAACAGTTCAATCTATAGACATCTTATAGCTAATGTGATTTACCACCAGTACAAAGAAATCATTCAACAGTTCAGTCTATAGACAAATGTCTACATCTTATAGCTAATGTGATTTACCACCAGTACAAAGAAATCATTCAACAGTTCAGTCTATAGACAAATGTCTACATCTTATAGCTAATGTGATTTACCACCAGTACAAAGAAATCATTCAACAGTTCAGCCTACATAGACAAATGTCTACATCTTATAGCTAATGTGATTTACCACCAGTACAAAGAAATCATTCAACAGTTCAGTCTATACAAAGAAATCATTCAACAGACATCTTATAGCTAATGTGATTTACCACCAGTACAAAGAAATCATTCAACAGTTCAGTCTATAGACAAATGTCTACATCTTATAGCTAATGTGATTTACCACCAGTACAAAGAAATCATTCAACAGTTCAGTCTATAGACATCTTATAGCTAATGTGATTTACCACCAGTACAAAGAAATCATTCAACAGTTCAGTCTATAGACAAATGTCTACATCTTATAGCTAATGTGATTTACCACCAGTACAAAGAAATCATTCAACAGTTCAATCTATAGACATCTTATAGCTAATGTGATTTACCACCAGTACAAAGAAATCATTCAACAGTTCAAAGAAAATCAACAGTTAGCTAATGTGATTTACCACCAGTACAAAGAAATCACAACAGTTGTCTAGACATCTTATAGCTAATGTGATTTACCACCAGTACAAAGAAATCATTCAACAGTTCAATAGTCTATAAAGACATCTTATAGCTAATGTGATTTACCACCAGTACAAAGAAATCATTCAACAGTTCATTCTTTAACAAATGTCTACATCTTATAGCTAATGTGATTTACCACCAGTAATGTGAAAGAAATCATTCAACAGTTCAATCTATAGACATCTTATAGCTAATGTGATTTACCACCAGTACAAAGAAATCATTCAACAGTTCAGTCTATAGACAAATGTCTACATCTTATAGCTAATGTGATTTACCACCAGTACAAAGAAATCATTCAACAGTTCAGTCTATAGACACTTATAGCTAATGTGATTTACCACCAGTACAAATCAACAGTTCAATCTATAGACATCTTATAGCTAATGTGATTTACCACCAGTACAAAGAAATCATTACAAATGAAATCATTCAACAGTTCAACAGTTCAGTCTATAGACAAATGTCTACATCTTATAGCTAATGTGATTTACCACCAGTACAAAGAAATCATTCAACAGTTCAGTCTATAGACAAATGTCTACATCTTATAGCTAATGTGATTTACCACCAGTACAAAGAAATCATTCAACAGTTCAGTCTATAGACAGTCTATAGACATCTTAGTCTACATCTTATAGCTAATGTAACTTACCACCAGCACAAAGAAATCATTCAACAGTTCAGTCTATAGACAAATGTCTACATCTTATAGCTAATGTAACTTACCACCAGCACAAAGAAATCATTCAACAGTTCAGTCTATAGACAAATGTCTACATCTTATAGCTAATGTGATTTACCACCAGTACAAAGAAATCATTCAACAGTTCAGTCTATAGTCTACATCTTATAGCTAATGTGATTTACCACCAGTACAAAGAAATCATTCAACAGTTCAGTCTATAGACAAATGTCTACATCTTATAGCTAATGTGATTTACCACCAGTACAAAGAAATCATTCAACAGTTCAGTCTATAGACAAATGTCTACATCTTATAGCTAATGTGATTTACCACCAGTACAAAGAAATCATTCAACAGTTCAGTCTATAGACATCTTATAGCTAATGTGATTTACCACCAGTACAAAGAAATCATTCAACAGTTCAGTCTATAGACATCTTATAGCTAATGTGATTTACCACCAGTACAAAGAAATCATTCAACGGTTCAGTCTATAGACAAATGTCTACATCTTATAGCTAATGTGATTTACCACCAGTACAAAGAAATCATTCAACAGTTCAGTCTATATGACATCTTATAGCTAATGTGATTTACCACCAGTACAAAGAAATCATTCAACAGTTCAGACATCTTATAGCTAATGTGATTTACCACCATAGACATGTCTACATCTTATAGCTAATGTGATTTACCACCAGTACAAAGAAATCATTCAACAGTTCAGTCTATAGACAAATGACATCTTATAGCTAATGTGATTTACCATCAGTACAAAGAAATCATTCAACAGTTCAGTCTATAGACATCTTATAGCTAATGTGATTTACCACCAGTACAAAGAAATCATTCAACAGTTCAGTCTATAGACATCTTATAGCTAATGTGATTTACCACCAGTACAAAGAAATCATTCAACAGTTCAGTCTATAGACAAATGTCTACATCTTATAGCTAATGTGATTTACCACCAGTACAAAGAAATCATTCAACAGTTCAGTCTATAGACATCTTATAGCTAATGTGATTTACCATCAGTACAAAGAAATCATTCAACAGTTCAGTCTATAGACATCTTATAGCTAATGTGATTTACCACCAGTACAAAGAAATCATTCAACAGTTCAGTCTATAGACATATAGCAGATGACTTTGGAACATATCACCAAAAAAACCCAACAAAACAACAATCGGCCAAAACATACAAAAGCTCCAGGAGACAGCACAATTTTCAAACCTCCTTTTTACTGGGTTGAAATACACAATTGTTCATGTAAAAAAAACAACAAAACAACACTTGGTCTGAACAGATGAAAGACAAGATAACTGGAAGAAAGCATTTCAAAGGTAGATCCTGGAATAAACCCAGGAAACAACATAAAATCCCAAAATTGCAAGGGTGGGTTTATCAAAGGAAAAAGAAAAAGTTGATAATGCTACAAAAAAGAAATAGATTTCAGCAGTCTTAGTACCAAAAGTTGACATGAACAGTTGTCAATAAATTATTTTATTTCATAATAATCAAACACATATGGAAACCCTTCCTCATGAGTTTCATTTATATATAAAAAAAAGTTTAAACTGCACATTTTACCAAATTAAATTATTTCATCAATTACTGGAAATAAACATTAAGTAAAAATATGAACCATTTTCTACATAATTTATTTGTCTTACCCAGATAAATGAGACCAAATCCTCCCTGCCCAATCTCCTTCCCAAGTTGCCATTCCTTTTTGCGTAGGTCTCTTAGAATTGTTCCAGGTGCAAATGAGTCTGGCAATTTCTGAGCTTTAGGTCCTCTGGGCTTTTTAGCTCCTGATATTGGTAATATTTTGATTAATTTCACAGGGGAAGAAAGGATTCTACATGATAACATTGGATCCCCTTACTGTAATTACAAATCTGATTTCAATATGATAACTACAACAGCTTCTGCAATATCTGAAATAGGAGGCAACTAAATACAAGGTTTCACAGTGTGATATGTACTGATATTTCATAGTCCACATTGGAGTCATAAGCTAAGGTTTTGAATTCCAGAGTATTTGTGTGATGTAGAAACAGTGACACTAACCTTTGACTTTTGAATATAAAATGACTATATATATATATATGGTCTCTATAACCATGATTTTTCAAACAGGTACACACAGACAGAAAGTTATACTAAAGTTTCCTTCTGATCTTTTTTGAGGAAATGAGATAATTTACCACCACTTGCCGCTGCAGCTTTTCCTCTCGGCATGATTGATAACAAGTCTGCCGAACACTGCTTCTGAAAATTAAAAAACATATTCTCAATGTATTACAGCTATGAAAAATATGATGCTCAATGGTCACAGTTCATAATATTGTCTGTAAGTGAATCTTTGACAAGTTATGATGCGGTAAGTGGACTGTGAACAGAAGCAATGAGGAAAATAATGACCTCTGTTAGACTTAATTTGTCACACTAGTCCAGTTTGTAAGAGCCGATGATATATTGATGGTTCAAAATGATTAAGTCAGTATGGTTTGTGCAGTATTAAACATGGTCTTTGATCTGTAACTCAGCTGACAGAGCATGCTTCTTTGCCCCAGCTGGTAGAGTAGTGGGTGATGACAATGGATACACTTTGTCTTAGCCTTGCTGTACAAGTATAACCATTATTCCTGGAGAACTTGGGGAAGATTTCCTGGGGAATCCCTCAAGTGTAAGTATATAACCTGACCTTATTAAAACACCAGCTTCCTTTAGATACATCTTAAATTGCCTTTTCCCACAAAGCCATATAGAGACATATAAGTAAAAGCAGGGATGTATATGACTGTCATATACGTCCCTGGTAAAAGGCTATATGTCCCTAGAGACGTATATATATCACATGCGTTATATATGTCTCTGATGTCCCCAAGTAAGCAAAACAGAGATATTGAAAATTATCACCTCCGTCACATACAGTAGTATGCATGTAAACATGTCAAAAACTCAAATGTAATGTGAAGAAATAACCGTATATTATATAGGTATCAAAATGAAGAGATGAAAAACTACTTCATCATTGTTGATCTCTGTATAATAAGCAGTGGTCAACAAAAACAAAACGAACAGAGACTTCAGCGTTTCTGGCAGGTCGTTCATGCAACACAGAAAGAGAATAGGACATATAACTATTTCCTGTGGTTCTCTTAAGTCACTGTCACTATGCATGGGGGTTTTTCCGGGTCCTGTATTTTTTCTACTTTTCAGAGTTGTCTGTAATTGTGGAGAGGAATAGTGTCCATGGACTATGGTGTTTGAAAAGTCCAGTATCGCAATGGCAACCTGCTTGGTTATGGTTTCTCTATCTTATTTGCTTGATTGCTTATTACCTACCGTCTTCCTCTAATGCATGCCGCTTCTATTTTGACGAAGAACTTTTTCAAAACAAAAACCTGAACTGCGACTTCCTTCAAAAATTCCGCCAAAGCGATGTTGAGAACTGGGAAGGCATTGGTTGATCTTTATTTCAGATATCCAATCACGTAATGGTTCACAACTCTTTTTGATTTATGTCAAATGCGCTTGCGTGAAGTAAACATGGAGGATGCACGAGTCGGATGAGGTGGCTAGACGTAGAATATTTATTTTCACTGTATATAAGATGAACCCGTGGCTTGTGATTAATAAATCAACGAAGATGTAAAATAGAAAATGACGGATAGTTCAGGGACTGTTGACTCTGTCGTCGTAAGTGACACAGGGGATGATCGATGTGTTGGACCAGCTGGAAGTGGAACTGCCCCCTCAATGGACGACACTGATATGCAGGAAGTAAACAAAACTGCTACAAGTGTCGAAACGAACTCGACAGAAGATACGAAGAATGCAAGTAACAAGAAGGCGGGGACAACGAAAAAAAACATATGTTTTCCAGAACCTCACGCTATAGCAACTTACTCGGAAGCGCCTGATCCATGGAAACATGGTAAATGTCAAGTAGATCTGTCAGATGACAAATGTCATTCTCAAGGTCTAGCTGTAAATAATTTTGATATGATCGATTCTTTGTGTCATTTTCTGTTTACTTAAAGGAGGCTAAACATGTTTAGTTTAAAAGTTTATCTTAGTATGTACAATCCTACGTTCAATGATACACTGATAAACAACGAAAGGAGTTGTGGAAAATGTCCTGCCCCAATATAGTATTCAAACTAGCGACTATTCGCTATCAAAACGGATATCTACCACTAGTTCAAAGGAAAATATCCCCTAGCTACGCCCAGTAAGCTGACCTATAATCATAATTTCACACTAATCCTCCATTCTTCGCCCTTGATGACAACCACAACCAAAGTTTCTTGGCTTCAAAGAAGCATCTCATTCTATAGCCTTTAACTTTCGAAGACATAGAAAGGAGTGATGAAAAATGCCCTGTCTAGTGCTTGAACTAGTGACCTTCGGGTTTCGCAGGACACTTGATTAATGACTTAAGTGAATCTACATCTATGCAACTACCTCATTTACCCCAGAAGATAACCGCAATCCAGGTTTTACAAGTGAAGCATCTCATTCTTTAATAGCTTATATTTTTGGTTGGTTTGTAGCACCAAATATGTAATTGAGAGAAGTAGTGAAAAATATCCCATCCTCTTTAAGTCATTGAACTAGCAACCTTTTGATCTCTAGCTGGATACTACTTTCTGTTGCTAATGGGATATTCCCACTTAGAAGAAACAAATTAGGTGATACATCTAAATAACAATATTATGTGAATGGTATATTACATATATTATTTATCAGGGTTACATTGGAAATTTTTTAATGATTTCAAACATTGTGCTTTTATCTGAACACGCTTTCAAAATTGAATGCATATATAACATATTTCTTCAGGTTTGTCTGGCTTGATTTCAGCATAGGAGATTGCTTTATACACATATGGGATATTGTTTAATGGATTTCATCTTTCAATGATTGAATGGCATGTTGCTGAAATCATTTTTTCATTGGAAATATTGCAAACTTTTGCTAGTTCGAGTTTTCTTCAGTTCAACATTTACTTTATCATACCAAAGATTTTCCAGTGGAACTCAAATTCTGAAGACCCAGTATATCTCTAGAAATTGGACTCAATAAAATTTTGGAAGTGGTGGTCTTGACTCACTTGAAAAAATCCTATGAACATTCCTGCAGTATTTGGAAGCAATGTACTTTTGCCTCTCCTGTGAAATACTATAAAATTACAGGAATGTGTTTGATGAAAATTACTAATCCCATCATGATTAGTTATCTGCCATAATATGTGACTGTGTTGCTGAGGATGTGGAATTTCTTTGCATACTCACTGACCAAATCCTCTGAAACATTTGTTGTGACTAATTTTTGTGTTACTGACAGTAAACCTTACATAATACATTATTAACAGACAAATGAGTTTATCTAACCAACCAAAAAAGCACTGTTATTCCTGTTCAGGCCACAGCTTTCACACAGTTAACAATTTCTCTCTTGTGAGGCATCATTTGGTAGGCTACAAACAATCTTACTGGTAGTCATTAAACCAGCAAGATACACTAGTACTGACATGCATAATTTCTAATGTAACCTCAGAGTGAAACCTTAGTCTGTGTACATGTCTGTTAAACTTTGGTGATCATTGAAGTTTGACTTTAAATTCTGAAAATAATTTCATAAACTTATAATAGGTAAATCAACTGTAGACTTTTTGACAGGTCAGTAACTGTTGTAGGGCTGGAGAGCAAACCTTTTTTTTTTATATATCAAAACTTATAATTTTGTTATACCCTTTGATGATAAGTGGTTTGTCATCAACTACAAATTTAAAGATCCTTTTGAAATGGCAACAATTAAGTAACTAGTTCTAAAAATATCCATTTGACAAATTATATTTGGGAAGAAAAAATGACTAAGATACTGCTGATGTTCATGTTGGAAAGGATGATGGCTGCTTGTTATATGATGCATGCTGTTGGTAGATGATGGCAACCTATGGCTAAAAAGGAGAGGAAGATGCCCATATCAGCAAAATGTTAAAAATGTTGATTGTCCTTTACATATAGAGTTATGTCTATATAAAGTAAATTAATATGTTTTAGCTAAATGTCAATTATGGTTTTTGTAAGTACTAGCACCAATATGTATCCTTAGAGATGTGTTAGATGTAACTTATCTAAGACTACAAATTGCATAAAGTATTTATTACCTTTCACTAGATGTCTAGTGTTGAAATTCCAGAATAGCTGAGATAATTAGGCAGCCTGACTTTGTGGCTTTTCCCCCCCCGAGTACTACGCTATCATCCCTCAGTTTGACCCCTCAGTTTGACCCCTCACTTGTATCTAACCAAGCCAAAAAGAGTGATCGCTTGGCACTTGTTGAACAGTTGTAGTAAAATAAATTGTTTATATATTCAAATTGTACGAAGTTAAAAGTTATCCATTATCCAACAGAAGTACTTATTTTGCTATACTTGATATTTCAGCTGAAGTCTGGAACAACAAAGATTTGATAACAGCATACAGACATGGATGTGAACAAAACAATGTCAAACCTTTGAGTAAAGTTTTGAATCAGTTACAGGTAAGATGATCTAAATGCTCTTTGATTTTGTGATAAAGAATCTACTTAATGAACACTTCTTTCTGATTTATGGATGTCACCAACATGTCAGCTAGACATCACCCTTTACGTGACTTTTACCATTGTCTGCCTTGTATAATAAGTTTAATGTTTGAACAACTTTGTAGCAGTTACTTTAGTTTTCTATGGACTCTTGTATGAGAATGATGGGTATTACTTATTTAATTGTTTATATTTGTTGTAGTGATATGATTTTACATAATTCATTGATAACTTTCAGGGTATCCAAAATACAGGAGAGAGGCATGAACTCCTTACCCTTAAGGGTATGTATGTCATAATTTGTACATGATTATGTATTGTGTTGGGTACTCGAAAATCATAGAAGCATTTTTTTTTTGGTTAGAATTTACTGTTACTAATCAATTAAAAAAATGGATCACTGATGTTGAAATCTTAACCAATTCCCAACACTAGAAAATATTGAACTGATTTTTGAGTCCACTGCTGTCTGCTTTTAGTATGCTCATTGTATGTGGCTTAAACATGACACTGGGAGCACTTACAGTGTCCATAGTTTCAAAGATTTCACAGTCACGCTTGACTGAGCATGATCAGTTATTATCTGTTGAACATTGATGAAAATTTGATTAAGACCCAATGTCATGAAACTTCAAATGTATGTCAGCATGACCAATCAAACGTCAAAATAAAAAATAAACATAATTCCACTACCATATTCCTTGTCAACAACATAAATTTGTTTTTAAAAAAAAAACCCAATCCAGTTGGTGACTGGGGTATTTTGACATTTGCTGTAATACACAACATCTACATGGGCCCTCAAAAATTTGATATTTAAAAAAAATGAAAAACTTCTTATTTACAGGTTAGGAACTTTACTCCCAATATTTACAAGTGAGAAACTTTACTCTCAGTTTTTACAGGTGGGATATTCAACATATAATATTTACAGGTGAGAAACTCGATATATAACATTCATAGGTGAGAAACTTGCCATTTAACATTTAAAGGTGATCAGTCGGCATGTAACATTTTCAGGTGAGAAACTTGAAATTCGCCACTGTGAGAGTCTGGAGGAGGTTTTCAGGAGGGTACAGTTCAAGTGTATTGACTTTGAAGCATGCCATCTGGATGATGAGGTAAAGAAATGTTGTAGATCATGTAAAGGACTATTGTAAATCTAGTAAGATATTATTGTACTTAAGATGAAGTGCAACTGATTGACAACTGTTAGTAACTAGATACACTGTCACTTTGTTGTTGTTGAAGACACTGATGACATATTGGTGGCACAATCGAGTATTATCTTATTTTTACAAACTGATGTCAGTGATGCTGTTTGACCGTAATGAAAGTTTAATAATTTTTGTTACAGACATCAGTGGCACTGTTTGACATTAATAATTTTTGTTACAGACGTCGGTGGCACTGTTTGACATGATCGAATATTATGAGTCTGCTTGTAAAGTCAACATGTCTTTCAATAAAAATATTTCCGTGCGAGGATGGCAGTCATGTTCTCGTATGATCAGGAAGGTGAGTTAACTATTCTGAGAATCTGTTTCTCCTGAACCTTCACTTTTACTCTGGCACTAGAAGTCCATTACCAGGAACTGGAGAGGAATTATAGTTTTGCATTTTTGTCTATCCACTTCCATGTATCCCTTTTTCAGCTATCTTGTCCAATCTCTATCTCATACACTACTTGTCACTGGAACTTCATACTTGGGTATATATGTTCACCTCCGTGAGACAATATATGTTGTATCAAAAGTAGGTCATTCTGACCTACATTTTGACCTTTGACCTACATCTAAGAATATGGTTGGGGACTGTAAATCACTTAATTGTCTTGTTTCTCTGTTTGAATCGGTACATGTGTTCAAACCTGCTTATTTCTATCAGTTTTTTTTTTAAATTCTGATGGCTTCACAGATAGGATCCACAATGTGACAGTAATAATTTAGTTGTATCCAACCAGTATGACAATAAGGTTTAACATGACAATAGAACTATTATGTAATAGAACTATTATGTTTGTGACCGTTGTTCACTCTTTATCAGACACCATGCCTGTACTTCCTTGATGCAAGAAACTGTGATTTGAATGATCGTCTCATCCCTGTAATGGGTCGAGCATTGAGGATGGGATCCTTCCTAACTACCCTACATCTGGAGAGTACATCACTGTCAGGCAGACCCCTGGTTATACTAGGTAAGTAATATTGATGGGATCCTTCCTAATTACCCTACATCTGGAGAGTACATCACTGTCAGGCAGACCCCTGGTTATACTCGGTAAATAATATCAATTATTCTAAGCTGATTCTAATGACCATTCAAATGACGAAACTCTGAAAACTTCCCTCACTTAAAGAAATAGAACAAAAAAAGAAATGATACATAATCATGAAAAATAAAAAAAATTTTAGTTGAAAGGAATGAAAATGGGGAAACATTTTTTCACATCGTGATATTGTGTCCCCAGCATATCGTGATATTGTGTCCCCAGCATATCTTCTACACCTGTATATACTACTTTGTTTTGGTCAGTGGCTGCATTAAAGATGAATGAGATCTTGATGGAGCTGTTCCTGGCTGATAATCGTCTGATGCCCAGTGATGGGATTCAACTTGGGAACCTACTGAAGTACAATCACAAGCTACAACTTCTGGACATAAGGAACAACCACCTACAGGTACAACTAGTTACAATCCTCCACAGGTACAACTTGTAACAGCTACCCACAGGTACAACTAGTAACAATCCTCTACAGGTACAACTTGTAACAGCTACCCACAGGTACAACTAGTAACAATCCTCCACAGGTACAACTAGTAACAACTACCCACAGGTACAACTAGTAACAATACTCTACAGGTACAACTCAGGTACAACTAATAACAATCCTCCACAGGTACATCTTGTAACAGCTACCCACAGGTACAACTAGTTACAATACTCCACAGGTACAACTAGTAACAAATATGCACAGGTACAACTAGTAACAAATATGCACAGGTACAACTAGTAACAATCTTCCACAGGTACAACTAGTAACAATCCTCTACAGGTACAACTAGTAACAACTACCCACAGGTACAACTAGTAACAACTACCCACAGGTACAACTAGTAACAATCATCTACAGGTACAACTAGTAACAACCATCTACAGGTACAACTAGTAACAACCATCTACAGGTACAACTAGTAATAACCATCTACAGGTACAAGTAGTAACAACTACCCACACGTACAACTTGTAACAACCATTTAAAGGTATAATTTGCTATAGAGGCACTTAAGTTTTTAAGTAAAATTACCTTTCGTTAAATAAGATGCAGTACTACTCCCTGAGATAATCATGAGAATATTTACATCAGGTAAAATATTTCGCCATCAACAGCAGGTGATTTTCTTTACTTACAGGACATTGGAGCTAGCCATGTTTGTGATGGTTTGTGTGAACAGAACCTTGGTATCGGCTTACAAACGCTTGTCTTGTGGAATAACCAGATCACTTACAATGCCATGGCAGCTGTGGGCAAAGCAATGGTGAGTGGATAAGAGATGCAGCAGAATGGGATGACAAGCATGATCAGACTACAGAAACTAGTTTTTCAGTGTTTGTAAATTTTATTTATTTCAATAGCAGTTGTATGTAATTGTAATAGAAATCTTCTTTGTCTAAAGAAGTTTTAGTATACTTGATTGTGTGGTTTTGATATTGGTGATATTGTATAGTTGTTTCACTTGTTTCAGGCTGCTACAGATAGTGTGGAGACGTTGAATCTTGGCCATAACAATGTCACCAACGAAGGAATCCACCTGATGAAGGATGGTCTTCTCAAGTCCAAGTCTCTCCTCAGGATAGGTCTACAGGGAACCAAAGTCACATGTGAAGGTGAAGGTCATTGGTTAGGTGCAGGTCCACATGGTACCAGGATCAGATGTGAAGTCAGATGTTTTGTTTAGGTGTAGGTCCACATGGCAAGGGTTAGCTATGAACACAAAGGTCATTAGATTTACTGCATGCTCAGGCAAAGTTCTTGTAGTTCTAGTTCAGAATTCTGATATTGGAAATATCACACTAGAGAATGATCAAAAAGCAACAAAATTTGTTCTTGTTTTGGAACTTTTAGACAAAATTAGGGAAAAACCCCTCAAATTTATATTCAAACTTATGTAAAAACAACCTTTTCCACAATTTCTGAAAATTATCCCATGAATAGAAACAGAATTGCTATTGTTCAGTTGTCTCTATATGGACTGAATAAAAGATTTAGAGATCATTGCCTATCAATCGGTGCAGAGTCCAGCGTCAACTTTGTCCTTAACCAACTTCTTCTCAATAAGTTTTTTTTAAAAGTTGGCTGGTATGTTCCTAAGATATAGGAATAGGGCACATTTTCGATACCTATGACATTACTGGAACTTTTACAGGTTCTTTCTTATATAATGTAATGAAAAACTGGACAAACTATGCCATCTAGATTATCGTAAAATGTTAATTGTTGCTGCTGTTATACATACAGGTGCTGTAGCCTTGGCGGAGGTAATAGCAGACAGTCCTCGACTTCTCAGGCTTGATCTGCGGGAAAATGAGATTAAGACAGCTGGTTTGATGGCCCTGTCTTTAGCCCTCAAAGTCAATGAGACAGTCACAAGACTTGATATGGACCGTGACACCAAGCGAGAGTCGGTAAGCTGACAACTTAACTGGGGCCAGGAATAAGTTTCACTTTTCCATCGAGGATAAGGGAACCTTTTACATTGGTCATCACAGAATATTGAATCTGTTACAATATTGAAGTAGAGATTTTACATGGGTTGAGATATATTAAAGAGTTTGTAGAATGACATGGGAAATAGCAAAATTCATTTATATTTTTGAGGAAGAACAGTATTTACAGTTGTATTGAAGTATGGAATATATCATGATATTTCTCTACAAAAGAAATTATGGTAAAATGATAATTCATTTGTATATCATATTATGTCTCGACATAAGTAAAAGGATAATTCATTTTTATATCATATTATGTCTCGACATAAGAAATTGTTGTAAAATATAGATATTTAATTGGATAAAACATTTAAGATAAAACATACCGTAAATATTCGCGTATAGTGCGCACTCGTGTATAGTGCGCAGGTACTTTTTGGAGATCAGATTTAAAAAAAAAAAATCTACAGAAAAATTAATTGACTGGTCACTGCGACGAAACATTTGATGTGGTCTGATCCATTGATAATCAGGCAACCACAATGAGCGTGACCCTAACACATGGAATTACCTTAAGTAAACAAATTTACCCAGGTGACCTAACAAGCATGAAAGGCTTGGCTGATTGTATAATTAACGGTTAATGACAGTTAACACGTTGAGTATGAGGAGACTGATGACAACCGGCTTGGGCTGAACGCGTACTATTGGTTAGAAAAGATGTTGTTTTAACTGTCTGAACATTTTCAATCCTACCTTGTCCCCATAAAAGCAAGTGGTTTGTTCAGTATAGGCATGATCTTTCATGGTATCTGTACCCACCGCAGTATCCGAAGGTATTTAATGATAGATTGTTTACACCGACTTCGACATGGGGAAACTGCGAACGCCATTTGACTACGCCGAGAGACTGGAGTTTCGTGCCGCCGGTCGCCGCTTCGACATTCCAGAGTGAAATATCAAGGCACGGAAGAAAGAAAAGACCGTTTAAAGTCCCAACCACTGACCAGAAGGGCTGACATAGGTGCGACAGCGAAACACTTAGAGATGGAGAGAGAGAGCTGTTCAACTTTGTATGCGATCGCCGATATCCCGGCATCGCTGCCAGTACAACAGAACTGCGCGTGCGGGCCATGCAGATCAAGAGAGGTCATGGGGTCACCAACTATGGGCATCAGTGGGATGGGCTGTCCGATTTATGAACAGAACGACAATTGCCTAAAAACTTCCGGATTCATTGAATTCCACAGATACATCATCAAAATGAGGCAGAAATTCAGACACTACTATAGCCCCAACCAATAGTAAGACCGACTGGAAACGAAAAAAAATTAGATTCACAGTAATGCTAGCGTGAATGGCAGATGATTAAAACATTTTATTTTTTTGTTTTTATCTCCAAACTATCACATAAGACCGACGACTTTTACATATAACTATGTGAAGGGAGGTACTCCAATATGGCGGATGCAGAACTCGGGAATGATAACCCCAGGAATGGCATGTACCTGCGTATAGTGCGCACCCCCTTTTTGACACGACAGTTTCAGCTTAAAAAAGTGTGCACTATACGCGAATATTTACGGTATACATATTTAACACACATTAAATTCAAGTTTTTTAGCCCCCATCATCAGATGTTGGGCTATTCAAATTGCCCTACGTACATGGTGTGTACACAATTTTTGTTATCCCAGCTCTTGAGAAGTACTGGATTGATCTCTCTCAAATTTCATATGTAGGTTTCTCTTGGTTCCTAGTTGTGCTCTTTTGATTTTGGGCCTGATCAAAAAACAGAATGGCTGACAAGCAGTCATCTTGTATTCTAATTGAAAGTTTGTTATCACTATTTCTTCAAAAGTACTGGATGGATATTTCTAAAATTTTATATGTAGGTTTCCCTTGGTCCTTAGCTGTGCACATTTGATTTTATTTCATTGTGTAAGGGTTGTTATCACTTTTTCATGAGAAGTACTCGATGGATCTCTCTCAAATTTCCTATGCAGGTTCCCTTTTGTCCTAGCTGTGTCAGTTTGGTTTTAGGACTGATCAGTATAGCGAAATGGGTGACAGGTGGTCATCTTGGATTTGGCAGATAAAGATTATTACAACTATTTCTGCAATGGAATGTTCAAATTTGTTATCATTAAAGGCAAAAACAGAGAAGAAAGAGAAAAATTTCCAACTTTCAAAGAACAAATTAAGATCAAACAATGGTGGGCACCAAAATGCCCTAGGGATCTCTTGTTTATTTACTATATAGATTGTTGTCATCAATTTTTTGACATTTTTTTCAATGACACAAATGAGCCAGTAGGACTTCAATAGATTAACAACATACACAGATGTCTTAATAGAGTCGAACCTATCGATAGGGATCAGTAAGGGGACTAGATCCAACTGGACATAATAGACAGGGATCATGTGTTTGTTTATAGATCATGGTCATTGTCAATTTTGTTATACATGATATGATATGTAAGTTTTCTTTTGCAGGGAATGAAAGATTTTGCAGAGCAACAGAGGAGATTACAGCAGGACATTAGTAACTTCCTGGAGAGAAACCAGGGCCTAGCACGGAAGAGGACGGAAGAAGAGAGACTCAATTTGGAGAGGACCATAAAGGCAGATACTCGACCTGGCCGATCAGACTCTGTAATTGAACCAGCAGAGTCGGCCAAGGAGGACGCTCAAACTATTGCTTCATTTGATAAAATAAAACGTCCAATGCTTCTTGTTATGGAGGACAAGGAAGCTCAAAAAACTCTTGACTCTCCACACGTAAAGCCGGAGAACTTACCTAGCAGTGATGATGAGGATGGAACTGTCCTGCCTTCTAACAAAGTGTTGGCAAAGGCTGGGGCTCCTCCAGCAGAATTGCTGCTCAGTCCACAATACTGCACTGTCAAAGCTAAAAAACTTTTCACAGTGTCTCGTGTTGCAGGACCACCCCATCTGTCCCTTGCCAATGCCGATGTGAGTGCTGGTCACTCTACTTCTTCCCGGCTGGACAGCGTCCTCTCACCATCTGATACCAACGACATGATCTCGCAAATGAGTAATGGGACCCATGTCATGTCCCAGGGTCTCTCATCAAAAAACATAACAAGTCCTTCTGATGTCACTCTTAGTATACAGGCAGAGAGTGTTAGTCACATCATAGAGGAGATAGTGACAGGGGCATCACAGGAGGCTGCAAAGGAGGATGGAAGTGGCGAAAAAACATTCCAGGAAAGTGTACAAAACTCTTGTTCAGAATCGGGAAGCATAGCAAGTGAGGATGTAGATTCACAGGATGCAGTGGCAAATGTTGATGGGAACAACCCATCCTTATCTGACTCTATAGAAAATAAATGCAGTGTTATGACAGACAATGTGACTCGAAGCAATAGTGAAACAGAGGTAGTTAGCCAAAAGAGTGTGATTTCAGACAGTAGTGACATGGAAGTGAAGGAGTCTGCTGATCTAAAGACTAGTGATAGTGACTGTGATATTCATAAACAAAATGAGGAGACTTGTGTTTGTCTCGATAGTGCAATAAGTGTTGTAAGTAAGGGGGATAACTGTGTAGAGAATAACTCCAGTATCACTGACAGTGTGACTGGTAGATTATCAGGAAGTATACCTGAATTAGACGTTACACATTGTGATCAAATTGAGGAGAATAGTGATAGAAATGATGGTGTGAGTGAGGATTCCCAAGAGATGCACACTTTGTCTAAATGTTTACCATGTGATAAACTGAAACAAGAGAAGGACTCTGGTATAGGTAGTTATGAAAATGATCGTGATTGGACAAGGCTTGATGCTCCCAGTAAAGGAATGAAAACCAATGGTTGTGACAGTCAAACTGATGGGTCAAATTTACCTATTACCAACCCGGACTTTTACACTAACTTGACATTCAATGGCTTAACACAGGAATTAGCAAGTGCTTTGGAAAATTTGGATGTAGACTCGGCTGGAGTAAAGGAGGGGACAGTTAATACTGGTAGGTAGTACACCACCAAATTGTACATAAGCACTTATAGTATTTTGGTATTGAATCAGGTGGAATAAAGGAGGAGACAGTTATTACTGGTAGGTAGTACACCACCAAATTGTACATAAGTAGTTAAAAATTTGGATATTGACTCCGATAAAGACTCTGATGGAGTAAAGGAGGGGACAGTTGATACTGGTAGGTAGTACACACCAATGCAGTATATAATTGATTTTTAAAATTTGGATATTAACTCGGATAAAGGAGGGAAGAGTTGATACTGGTAACACCACTAAATAGTTCCTGATTAGAATTGTGTACAAACATCAGAATTAGCACGATTATAGTATACACATATTTAAAAGGTCACATGGGCATTACATATATGGTAAGGCCAAGGAAATATTTATAAAGGGATTTTAAAACATTTTTACTGTGTACTTCATTCATACATGTGCATAGTTTTCAGTTAAAATAAATCTTTCTCATTTTTTTCAGATGAAAATTCAAGTGGCACTATTGATGATTTTGAGAAAGAGTTGGATGCAATGTTAGCAGATGTAAAAAGTGGAAATAATCTAAACTTACCTTCCTGTAAGTACAGTCAGTACACAGTGGTGTAGTCAGTACACAGTGGAGTACACAGTGGTGTAGTCAGTACACAGTGATGTGTAGTCAGTACACGGTGGTGTAGTCAGTACACAGTGATGTGTAGTCAGTACACAGTGGTGTAGTCAGTACACTGTGGTGTAGTCAGTACACAGTGGTGTAGTCAGTACACAGTGGTGTGTAGTCAGTACACAGTGGTGTGTAGTCAGTACAGTGGTGTAGTCAGTACACAGTGGTGTGTAGTCAGTACACAGTGGTGTAGTCAGTACACAGTGGTGTGTGGTCAGTACACAGTGGTGTAGTCAGTACACAGTGGTGTAGTCAGTACACAGTGGTGTGGGGTCAGTACACAGTGGTGTGTGGTCAGTACACAGTGGTGTAGTCAGTACACAGTGGTGTAGTCAGTACACAGTGGTGTAGTCAGTACACAGTGGTGTGTAGTCAGTACACAGTGGTGTAGTCAGTACACAGTGGTGTAGTCAGTACACAGTGGTGTGTAGTCAGTTCACAGTGGTGTATAGTCAGTACACAGTGGTGTAGTCAGTACACAGTGGTGTAGTCAGTACACAGTGGTGTGTAGTCAGTACACAGTGGTGTAGTCAGTACACAGTGGTGTGTAGTCAGTACACATTGGTGTAGTATGGATGTGTTAGTGTTGTCAGTACACATTAGCGGAATCATATGACTAAAACACATCAGTCTTGTTGCCCTTCTGACATTGCATCCCTAGAGATAGCTGTTGTGTCAAATGGCAGATTTATTCAAAGGTTTATTCTTGTAGTTATGAACAACTCTTTTTTGCATTTAAACTCAGTATTATTTTTTTTTGCTGGTAAAACGTTGGGATTTTAACTTAACTTAGAAGATCATCACAGAGTACTGAAATGTTAAGATATCATGGAATTAAACTAGTTTTGTAATTTTTTTCAGGTTTGACAACAAACAAAGAGGAAGTAACCCAGGACTGTACAGGGACTGGAACATAACACTGGACTACGTCTAACAATACCTGTACAAGCAAGATAAACCCTGCAATGTCTTGTGAAAAAAATTTCCTAAGGGATGATATTAAAGCAATCATGATTTATAAACAAAACTGAAGAATCAGTGCTATAATAGACATCAGGTATATCCAATATATGTTTGAGAGAGATTTTCCAAGCTAGTGTACAACATTTGAACGGGGAACATTTCACCCTAAATGTAGTGTACAACATTACAACATTTCTCCATATCAGATATTATATACAGTAATATCCTACAATAAGCCGAGGGGACCATTAAAACCTCTTACTCAAAGTCATGCGTGGACATAACATTGGTTTATAACTTTACTGATGAAACATACCAGTTGGCTAAATGCCAGGCATGGGCTTATTGTGGGATCCGTATGATTTTAAAGGGACCACGGCAGCAGGTGGAGAACTGCTATGTTATAGTCAATGTCTGTAATGGGCGAGCTTTCCTCCTTCACCATAGATTTTAATAACACTCTATATTGTGTATAGAATCAGCCTGTGATGTGCCTGCAATGTCAAGTGTAGTTTACGATCATACAACAAGGCTTTAATCACATCCATTTAAGGCTTTAAACACATACAGGGGTATGATAGTACCATATTTAGTTCACCACAGCAACTTACAGTATTTTAAGTAAAGTATAGGAAATCGTTAGGTTTACAAGACTTTTATTCCACAAAATCTTATCCTCATGCCAACATATCTTGTCAACATTCTTCTCATATATGAGACATGGAGATTTAGACCTTTTACATGACATTAAGTTATATAATGATTTAACAACCTCATATCATGTTGACACTCTGAAGTACAAAAGGGAGATAATTATGTGAAATCTGGGAATTTGAAAATGAAAATGGTTCCATTTTTTATGCAATATTGACAAAAATAATGTATGAGAAAATAATTGACTTATTTAAAAAAATACCTGAGTGTGTTTGACATATGTCAGGCTGACATTCTGTTTTAACATCTCATTCTGTTCTTCAGGGTTTTTTTAGGTCATCTGACCCAAGGGGCGCTGTGTGTCATGCATAAGCTTTTTCTTTAAAACCCTACTCCTTGTTCATACTAAGATGGATTTCAACCAAATTTGGTCTGAAACGTCATTGAGAGTGGAGAATTATTTCTTCAATACATCCTTTCGGGACCTGGGGATGGGTGAGCCCTAAATGGGAAAGTTAGTCGATATTTTGCTTCAAAATGCTACTCTTTCTCAATGCTTGAATTGATTTCAACCAAATTTGGCGTGAAACATCACTGAGAGTGGAGAATTATTTCTTAAATTTAGAAAGTTGATCCAACCGCTAGTTAATAGGAATGATCCTTGATCCATTTGAAAGGGCACAGGGATCAAAATGTTAAAATCTTCATATGACTTCTTCTAAAAAACCAAAAGGCCAAGGATGATGATATTAGGCCTGTGGATGGGATAGAGTTGTTGAGCTATTTATTTTGGACCTATTTTACTTCTTTCATATATAGTTCTTTATAGTCAGATGACCATTAAGGCCCATGGACCTCTTGTTATAGAATTTCAGCCTATGTCTGTGATCAGTCTATCACAAACATGTTAAGATTAATCTGATAGTTTTGCTTGAGTTGTACTTCTGTTATAAATACTGTAATGATATGGGACTTTGGTGGTAGAAAAGTATATAGAATGTGGTAAGACACACAGACTGGTTCTTTATCAAATTATATTAAATAAATTCAGCATGAAAAAGACTTTGTAAGAGTGTTATATAAACATATAATTAAAGCAATGAGGATTGTACCTCATGTGTACCAACACTTAAAACCACGTGTGTGAATGATCCATATTAATGCTGCACAGAGTTCCTGACTTTTTGATAGTTCCTGTGACTGGTTGGTTGTGTGTTAACATATCATAACACATACTATTTGATATTTATGTCATTATTATCAAACCTTTCATCTATTCTCTCCTAATATTTCTAGTTTAGGATATTGACAACGCTCTGGTGTAAGTTCAAAACAATTTGAGGATTCACTCACCTGTACATGTTCTAGTGTCAGGGCTAGATCATTTTGCCAAAGTAAACTATGATACTATAATATTACACATGTGGAGATTCTACATGCTGCACTGACGGTTAATGTATGTCTGTATCGAGCTTCCTCTATACTAACAATGAATGCTGACCTTCCTCTATACTGACAGTGAATGTTGACCTTCCTATATACTGACAGTGAATGTAGAGCATCCTCTATACTGACAGTGAATGTAGAGCATCCTCTATACTGACAGTGAATGTAGAGCATCCTCTATACTGACAGTGAATGTGGAGCATCCTCTATACTGACAGTAAATGTGGAGCTTCCTCTATACTGACAGTGAATGTGGAGCATCCTATATACTGACAGTGAATGTGGAGCTTCAACTATACTGACAGTGAATGTGGAGCTTCCTCTATACTGACAGTGAATGTGAAGCATCCTCTATACTGACAGTAAATGTAGAGCATCCTCTATACTGACAGTGAATGTGGAGCATCCTATATACTGACAGTGAATGTGGAGCTTCAACTATACTGACAGTGAATGTGGAGCTTCCTCTATACTGACAGTGAATGTGAAGCATCCTCTATACTGACAGTAAATGTAGAGCATCCTCTATACTGACAGTGAATGTGGAGCTTCCTCTATACTGACAGTGAATGTGGAGCATCCTATATACTGACAGTGAATGTGGAGCTTCAACTATACTGACAGTGAATGTGGAGCATCCTCTATACTGACTGAATGTTGAGCTTCCTCTGTGCTGACAGTGAATGTTTGTCTATTCCAAGCTTCCTCTATACTGACTGTGAAAGTAAGTCAGTTTGGAGCTTCCTCTATACTGACAGTGAATGTGGAACATCCTGTATACTGACAGTGAATGTGGAGCTTCCTCTATACTGACAGTGAATGTGGAGCTTCCTTTATACTGACAGTGAATGTGGAGCATCTTCTATACTGACAGTGAATGTGAAGCATCCTCTATACTGACAGTGAATGTGAAGCATCCTCTATACTGACAGTGAATGTGGAGCTTCCTCTATACTGACAGTGAATGTGGAGCTTCCTCTGTGCTGACAGTGAATGTTTGTCTATACCAAGCTTCCTCTATACTGACTGTGAAAGTAAGTCAGTTTGGAGCTTCCTCTATACTGACAGTGAATGTGGAACATCCTGTATACTGACAGTGAATGTGGAGCTTCCTCTATACTGACAATGAATGTGGCAGTTAGATGCATTTTCAGATGTAATATTTGTGGATGTGAGAAATCTTAAAACTATTGGATTCAACTCTATCATGTTGACAAGTTGATGGTGTATTGTTTGGTATTTCTGTTCTGCTTTAATAGGTAACATTTTAGATGGTGTTGGTGATGTAATTTATTATACAATGTTAATCCAGACAGTTTACATCTGCATGGTGATAAAGCAATATAGAAATGGAAATCACATTGTTATATTTGTTTTAAAGGAATTTGCTCATTGTATATACACGCATATTTGATTTTATATATACATGTATGTGTAGTGAAACATCACTTGCAGATAAATTTTTCGTCAGAATTTTGTTATTGTTTTAAGATCGGGGCAACAATTAGAGTAAATAAAAAAAAGGTCAGACCAAATTTTAATCGGATATCATTAAGCAAAATATTGACTGTTGAAGTGAAGTAAAATCACTTTTTATGCTACCTGTGATATTTCTGTAGAATTTGTAAGTTGTATATATAATGATTGTCCACACTGTAATTGACACATGTTTACCAAGTCTACTGGTAAAGACAACCTAAAGCACCATTGTTATCTGTAGGGATACTGCACATTATTCCCATGTTCTATCCCCTTTTATAAGTATCATTTTAGGAGTTGATCCTGACTTGGTTGCTCAAAGCTTGGTCAGACTTAACGAATGGTGAGTGAATTTTTCATATATGAATCAAAACAAAAATTAGAGGAATCTTTGACATATCACAGCAGTAGGGTTCAGAGGTCAGATTGATATTGATTGATAGTCTGTCTGTCTGTCCGTCTGTCCACAATTCCATTCCGCTTATTATCTCAAAAACTACGTCACCGGTCATCACCATTTTCACTGGGGATGTTGGGCCTATGGACCTATACAACCCTATTGTTTTTCGTCGCCGCCCGATATCCAATATGGTGGTTACGGCCACCATCTTGAATTTGCATTCCACTCATTATCTCAAGAACGACATCACCGGTGACCACCATTTTAGCTGGGCATGTTGGGTCTATGGACCTACACAGCCTATTGAGGTTCTTCACAATCTCAGCCCTGCACCCAACTTTATAATAAGGCTGTGGGGTACTGCCCGCGTTTGCGGAGCTATTTTTTTCATTGGCAACAAATGGAATTTTTCATGAACTACCGATTAATTCTAACCATCCTTTGAGCAACTAGGGCCTGATTAATTGACAACCGACCAATCTTAATAATTTTGATAGAAGATAGAAGTCATTTGAGTAGAAGGTTAAAGTAATTTGGACGACTGTAGGGATAAGGAGATTTTGCTTTTTCTTGGATTACTATGCAGGGACAAGGGAGGCTTTTTCTTAAGATTTTTGGGTTCAAGTGAAAAATGTCAGGCCAGATGAAATATTTAGAAAGTAGAAAAGTATAGTTGCCTATCCATGGTGATTTGCCAGTATTTACGATAATTCCTTATTCATGTTTTTTTCAAATTTCTAAAGCTTACAGTTGAACCTTTCTGTTTGCATACCTTTGGTTTGCATACCTAAATAGATCAACCTGCGTCTGTCCGTCTGTCTGTCTTCCGTACGTCTGTCTGTCCATTAACAAATTTTGTTATTGCTGTTTCTTGCAAAGTACTGGATGGATCTTTCAAATTGCATATGTAGGTTCCCCTTGATCCCTAGTTGTACCCATTTGATTTTGGGACTGATCAAATATACAAAAGGCTGACAGGTGACCATCTTTGATTTTTTCAATGAAGATTGTTATTGCTATTACTTGAAAAGTACTGGATGGATC